TTTTCTGGGTGAAAAAGCTGATCTAAACATGTGACAGAAGCTAAAAACACTAGCATGTGAAAAATAGTAATCGAACCAACTTGTTTTGAAAGTGACTAACTATTAATATGGATTTAACGTTTTTATTTTTGTGCTTTGAAAGTTCAGTAGGCCCCTTTCTCAGGGTGAAGTGAAAAGAACCCAAAATGCAGGACTGTAAAAATAAAGTGTAATTCAACAATGGAGACAATGGACACAGGTCAATCACATTAGGGCGGGGCAAACAGTCAGCAGACCGAAGGCAAATTCAAACTACAAATGAATAGCAAAATAAAACCTGATTGGGATGAATTTGAGAGCAGTATTTATGTCAGTGGATGGATGTATAGACTAAAAACCTTTTGATTTTTAAAATAGGTGTAACATTGTAAAGTAAAAAAATGTATGCTCGCGGCAAGGCAAGTTTTTCTGAATAGCACAGTTCATACACAAGGGAAATCAAAGTGTAAAAACAAGACAAAAAACAAACAATCACATCACATTAAAAACTGACATAACAATCCCTTTTCTACCTGGATATGAACATTGTCAGGGTAGAAGTCTGTCTGGTTGATGCCCCACCAAGCCTGAATGCGATCGCTGCAGATCAGACGCAGGTAAATGAAAGCAGTAGTGATGGGCAAACAACACAGACCTCCGGAGCTTGTGTGGCTCTTTCTGAAGCTGCTTCAAAACACTGCATTGGAGTGTGATCACGAGATAAATGTGTCAGTGTCTCAAACTCTGGAGCCACTGCTTCTCTTTGTATCAAGTGTGTCGGTGTGGCAGGTTTTCATCTTCCAAACGGTCGTCATCTTTTGGAATGGTTGCCGCCTTTTCTGAAAGCGCCTCAGACCTCGGAATTTTACCCGCGATGCACTTTTGTGAATTTTTTGTGGACACGCAAAATTAGACTTCTGAATTTTTCTGAACGACTGAGTTGTCATAACATTGCTGTGAGTTCCTTTTTCAGCATGATTTTCATTTCTGATTTCTAAGAACTGTGGGAATGTCGTACGAATAAGCTGCTCCTGACAACCAGAGGAAAGGATTTGAAATATCACCAGGAATTCTTCTGTGAATGTAAAAAATGTTTCAGCAATTCTAGCTTTACAATTGTTGTGGACATTTGTCTCTGAGAGAGCAAGGTCTCCACACAGGCACCTATTGTACATGTCTTTATTGGGAAAACCTGAGCACCCAGAGGAAACCTATGCAGACACAGAGAGAACATGCAAACTCTATTCAGAAAGGCCCCATTCTGACCGGGATTCTAACCCAGGACCTTCTTTCTGAGAAGCGAGAGTGCTATCCGCTGAACCACCGTACAGTTTTAAGTATAATCAATGCAATAAGACATTTTCTGAGAAATCAAGAAAATCACCAAAATACAGATGACCTTTGTTGCCTACATTTGGTAAATCATCCATGGACACAGATTTGCCTTTTGTGTGGTTTAATTAAAATACAAAGTACATAGATAAGAACAAGCATTTGCAATAGGAGATACTGTAGCTTCTGCAGTCCGCTCCTCGGACGCTGCATCCGTCTTTCAGACGCACAATGAGATTCACACAAGCACAAGAGATCAAAGTATCTTGTTGTACAACATCACCATTGTCAGCATGCAGAGAAGCCCCCCTAAGCCCTTGCCAAAACCTTGATATTGTTCCTATAATCACAACATTTCTAGGAATCACACAACTTCACTAGCAGTATTCATCGACCTAAGTAAAGCCTTTGATACAATAAAACATGAGTTATTGATAAATAAACTGGAACATTATGGCTATATTATGGTCACTAATTATTTACAAAAGAGGAAGCAATGAGTGAGAATGGGTGACAATCAGTCGAGGTGTCGAGATATTGTGTGTGGATTACCTCGAGGTTCCATTTTGGGTCCAAAATGGTTTATTATGTACATCAATGATATTTGTAAAACCTCCCATATACAAAAAATCTCTGAATCTCAGAAAAAGTAAAATGATGATATTTGGTAACTGTAATCCCACTGCTCAGGATGTTATACAGATAGAGGACGCGGTTCTAGAGCAGGTACATGAAATCAAATTCCTTGGGGTCATTATAGATGACAAAATTACATGGAAACCACACATTAAATATGTAGCCACTAAGATCGCACAAAGCATTTCAGTAATAGCAAAGGCCAAGCAAACTTTAAACATCAGAGCTCTACTTACATTATACTGCTCTTTGATTTTGCCCTATTTAAATTACTGCACTGTATTGTGTAGTACCTATAAAAATACTTTAAAGCCATTGGTGATATTGCAAAAAAGAGCAGTGAGATTAATTCATAGAGCCAGGTTTTTGGACCACACAAACTCTTAATAAAAAATAATTAAGTTTTGCGACATTCTTGAGTCTGTTCCAGTCAGTACAGATGTTATACAAAGCAAGGTACAAACTGTTACAAACCAAATACAAAGTATAACATCCAGTACGCTCTAGAAATCTACTGTGTATTTGTAGGGGAACTAAACTTTAAATATCAGAAACATAGGACCACTTTGAAAAGTTAAATTAGAGATAGGGTTAGGTTAAACATCAACTTGTTCAAAAATGAATACAAACAAAAGATGTCTGAAAAATATAGAGAAGTGTTGAGTCACCACTAGGGGATGTAGTGCGATCAATGAGTAGCTTGTTGTTCCATGTTGAGTGTTGCTGCCTTGAAACATAAACTTAAATTCAATTTTGTCCTTTTTTTTCCTTCTCTGGTCTCTCTCTGGTCAGTGAAGTCAAACTCAATGTCATGACATATTCTTTACTCTCTAAATTGATTGTTGATTATTCTATAATTCAGGATGTGCAGATGTAGCTCTGGTCTGTGCCTTTATATCCTTGTTTGGTACTATGTTCATTATAATAATAATCAAAGTTTGATTGTAATTGACTTTGCGGGTGCGGTGCTAATAAGCTCTTCGCTTCAGCCCACTCCTTTAGTGCAGGATTAAATAAATACATCAATAAATAAACTTCACTAAAATGCTGTGATCAAAAGCAAAACTAAACCTAAGCATCACTCAGACTTAAAGGAAACAAAGTTTATAAACTCTTACACTGTCCTCTCATTCATCTTACGGATTAGAACTGCACCATCATGATGTATGTGACTGGATCATTTATCTTAATAGTAATATCTTTTGCCCAGGGAGAATTCCAATACTAACGGTTGTTGATACATACTGAAACACAGAATGTTTGCTGGTTGAGGACCAGGGCATCAGGCTTTATCTGTCAGCTGTATAAGTACAATGTAGCATAAGCAATGAAAAGAGACTTGCCTTGGCATTTCTCATTTGTTATGAGTTAGATAAAATGTATACAGTATGAAGACAACACATGTTAAGTGTTAGCTCGTCTCAGGCTAACTTTTGGCTGACACAGTAGTGCCTCAGACATGTTCTGAGGTTGTCGGTCACAATATATATTTGTAAGTGGATTTATATCTTGAAGAAATCCCCCGTTTGGAAACACTGGTCGATGGGCTGTTGATAAAAGCAGGCTTCATGTGGGAAACACCCACAAGTATAAAAGAGAAAGTGAACTACAGACAAAGCAGACAACTGTTCCTGTGGACGGAGAACTGAGGCTGAGGAGGCAACATGGGTGAGACTCCTTTCCTTTCTTTATCTATAGATATAGATATATGTATATATATACATTCTAGAAAGTGAAATCTTCTGAAAATGTTGTTGTTGTTTAACAGAAGTTTAGACTGTGAACACTTTACAAAGGGACATACAGTACACATAATGTAAGTAAGTAATGTTTATTTATATTATGTACCGTCTTTCACAGACAAGGGTCACAAAGCGGTTTACAATTGTTATTTTTTGGGCACATATCCTCTCACTCCACACAGAGATGGGAGCGGGGTCGCCAAACAGGAGGCGCATGCCAGATCTGATCTATTGTACATATTTTTAGTGGTAGGGGAAACTGGAGTACCCGGAGGAAACCTACGCAGACACGGGGAGAACATGCAAACTCCACTCAGAAGGGCCCTGGTCTGACCGGGATTCGAACCCAGGACCTTCTTGCTGAGAGGCGAGAGTGCTATCCACTCAGCCAACGTGCCCCCCAAAGGCCATGTTTTCTTAATTTACAATATTCCTGTGCATAACTTTTATTATTGATCCAATCATGTTTTAATTGGGATTTTTCTTAAAAGTAAAAACAAGTTTTCAGAAGTATTTCTGAATGTTATGTAATAAATCTAGTGAGCCACATTTATGAGACTATACCATAAACATATTTTCTCAATAAGCACCAGAGGACTGTAACACACAGTCCTACCATCAAAATATTTACGTGATTTTTTTTTGCAGGTAAAAAAAGAGTCTTCAGAGAGGTGAAGGAGACCGCAAAGGCAGTGGTGACTGCAGGGAATGCCGGTGCAGTGGTGGGGGGTGTGTTCGGGGGTCCCAAAGGAGCCGTAGTGGGGTGGACCGCAGGGGCCGTAGCTGGAGGAGCTGCACACATCATCGAGAAGAAGCTCTAGCAGAAAGTGCCGACGCAAAGACCTGCCCCTCCCCCTCATGATTACAACTGTTGTGTCACGTTCACACAAACCTCCCTCACCACTGGGCCAAACGGTGACATCACTTATATGGACTTCTCTCTGGACTTTCTGTCACGTCTCTCACTGTTAAATGTCTCTCAAAATTGGTTGTTGCTCTGTCCTTTTTAAGAAAGTTACATTTGACATGCACTATGTCAATAAATTAATCCTTTCTACTCAGACGTCATTGAAATCCATCAAATATCTAGACAAAATAAAAATATAATATTTTTCAGATTTTTGCTACAATAAAAACCTTTCAACTTCAATGACTTTAACTCAATGCACATGAATCCTTCAACCAAAGATGATCCATGAAAAAAGACAGGCTCCGACGACATTAGGTCACATACACTAAAAATATGACATGACAGTGTCTACGCAGCTGTATATGCAGCTGTACATGCAGCTGTACAGGCAGCTGTACATGCAGCTGTACTGGCAGCTGTACATGCAGCTGTACTGGAGGACTGGTCGGCAGGCCCACATCCACAAACATGTAGAAGCTCCACCGTGGCCCCGGCCGCATCTCCTCTTAACATCATGTTGTCATTATAGGCCACAATCAGTGTGTGCTGCTGCTCTGTTTATAGAGTCTCTTTTTGGTCAGTCTCCATGCAGGCAGGAGGTCAGTATGCAGGCAGGAGGTCAGTGTTCAGGCAGGAGGTCAGTGTTCAGGCAGGAGGTCAGTGTGCAGGCAGGAGGTCAGTGTGCAGGCAGGAGGTCAGTGTGCAGGCAGGAGGTCAGTGTGCAGGCAGGAGGTCAATGTGCAGGCAGGAGGTCAGTGTGCAGGCAGGAGGTCAGTGTGCAGGCAGGAGGTCAGTGTGCAGGCAGGAGGTCAATGTGCAGGCAGGAGGTCAATGTGCAGGCAGGAGGTCAGTGTGCAGGCAGGAGGTCAGTGTTCAGGCAGGAGGTCAGTGTGCAGGCAGGAGGTCAATGTGCAGGCAGGAGGTCAGTGTGCAGGCAGGAGGTCAGTGTGCAGGCAGGAGGTCAGTGTGCAGGCAGGAGGTCAGTGTGCAGGCAGGAGGTCAGTGTGCAGGCAGGAGGTCAGTGTGCAGGCAGGAGGTCAGTGTGCAGGCAGGAGGTCAGTGTTCAGGCAGGAGGTCAGTGTGCAGGCAGGAGGTCAGTGTGCAGGCAGGAGGTCAGTGTTCAGGCAGGAGGTCAGTGTCAGGCAGGAGGTCAGTGTGCAGGTCAGGAGGTCAGTGTGCAGGCAGGAGGTCAGTGTGCAGGCAGGAGGTCAGTGTGCAGGCAGGAGGTCAGTGTGCAGGCAGGAGGTCAGTGTGCAGGCAGGAGGTCAGTGTGCAGGCAGGAGGTAGTGCAGCAGTGTCAGTGTGCAGGCAGGAGGTCAGTGTGCAGGCAGGAGGTCAATGTGCAGGCAGGAGGTCAATGTGCAGGCAGGAGGTCAGTGTGCAGGCAGGAGGTCAGTGTTCAGGCAGGAGGTCAGTGTGCAGGCAGGAGGTCAATGTGCAGGCAGGAGGTCAGTGTGCAGGCAGGAGGTCAGTGTGCAGGCAGGAGGTCAGTGTGCAGGCAGGAGGTCAGTGTTCAGGCAGGAGGTCAGTGTGCAGGCAGGAGGTCAGTGTGCAGGCAGGAGGTCAGTGTGCAGGCAGGAGGTCAGTGTTCAGGCAGGAGGTCAGTGTGCAGGCAGGAGGTCAGTGTGCAGGCAGGAGGTCAGTGTGCAGGCAGGAGGTCAGTGTGCAGGCAGGAGGTCAATGTGCAGGCAGGGGGTCAATGTGCAGGCAGGAGGTCAGTGTTCAGAGGTCAGGCAGGAGGTCAGTGTGCAGGCAGGAGGTCAGTGTGCAGGCAGGAGGTCAGTGTTCAGGCAGGAGGTCAGTGTGCAGGCAGGTGGTCAGTGTGCAGGCAGGAGGTCAGTGTTCAGGCAGGAGGTCAGTGTTCAGGCAGGTGGTCAGTGTGCAGGCAAGAGGTCAGTGTGCAGGCAGGAGGTCAGTGTGCAGGCAGGAGGTCAGTGTGCAGGCAGGAGGTCAGTGTGCAGGCAGGAGGTCAGTGTTCAGGCAGGAGGTCAGTGTGCAGGCAGGAGGTCAGTGTGCAGGCAGGAGGTCAGTGTGCAGGCAGGAGGTCAGTGTTCAGGCAGGAGGTCAGTGTGCAGGCAGGAGGTCAGTGTGCAGGCAGGAGGTCAGTGTGCAGGCAGGAGGTCAGTGTGCAGGCAGGCGGTCAGTGTGCAGGCAGGAGGTCAATGTGCAGGCAGGAGGTCAGTGTGCAGGCAGGAGGTCAGTGTGCAGGCAGGAGGTCAGTGTGCAGGCAGGAGGTCAATGTGCAGGCAGGAGGTCAATGTGCAGGCAGGAGGTCAGTGTGCAGGCAGGAGGTCAGTGTTCAGGCAGGAGGTCAGTGTGCAGGCAGGAGGTCAGTGTGCAGGCAGGAGGTCAATGTGCAGGCAGGAGGTCAATATGCAGGCAGGAGGTCAGTGTGCAGGCAGGAGGTCAGTGTGCAGGCAGGGCCTACAGTGCTTGTCCCACAAGAGGTAAGATTATTACTAATATTTTTGTCATTCATTTTGTAATCAGTTCAAGACACAGATAAATCCTCCTTCCATCCATCCATTATCTTCCCCATAATCCATTTCTGGGTCGTGGGGGCAGCAGTCAGAGCTGCACCCAGTATATCACCAGCTCCTCACTGATCCTCCTGCAGGTGGTGAGCCCACAGGAGCCAAGGACACAACGACAGCAGTCATCAGTGGGTGTCGTGAAGTAGGTCTCGCGGTGGACTCAAACCCTCAACCTTCAGGCTTGAACCCACGACCTTCACCAAGTGAGCAACTGTCGCCTCTGCCTGTGCAGATAAATCCTGTTCTTCTGATATAGTTCAACATTGATCAGGTTCAAATAGTCAAAACTCTTGAACACAAAATGAATGACATACCGATACACACGTACATATGAGGAATATAAACTAAAACAGAATACTCATACATATCGTACTTGTTTCATACTTAGTTTCACAGTTTGTATTTCACTTGAGATGAGGATGTGCACATAAATGTCAAAGAAAATAAGTGATTAAATGAGAGATGGAAGTTGTATTTTGATATGATTGCAGATTGTGATGTGTCCTTTTCTATTTGTTAAACCATTTTGAAATGTTTGAACTGTCTTGTGTTGCCATGAGCTGTAATAACAGGAACCCTAACCCTAATATTTACAATTCAATACTTTTTTTATCAGAGTATTTGATCATGCAGTTCAGAAATTACAGAAACATACTGTCAGTGAGTAATGCAAGTGTGCGTATCATATTCTCCATTAAAAAAGTACATTTTGATGTTATTCAAATGACTGTAAACGTACTGCAAGAATGAATTGTTAATTTCTTTGGCAAACACTAGTTAAGTACTCGTAAAATAAATGATTAATTCATGATAAAATAATACACAATACTGGAAATCTTTATTATTAAACATTTTTCTCCAGTGGTTTTACTCATTAGAGTTATGTGGCATCATGTTCAGTGTATGAAAGGGTTTTACTAAACGCCCTGGGGGGCGTCAGGCCAATGTACTCCTTGACACGGTGTCATTTTGAAAGTGAAAATAAAACTCTTCTTTGTTTTCAGGAAAATAACAGGACATGGCCTTATGACTGGTCCAAAGTGAATGTGAATGTCCCCGTAGGGAAATTTGTCCTCTGCATTTGACCCATCCTGATGCCACTAGGGCTTAGATCAGGAGCAGTGGTCGCTGCAGTACAGCGCCCGGGAACCCATCTCCAGATGTTCATGCTCGGCTTGGGCAGGACTACCGCAGCTGGAGGATTTTACCTAGTGAGCATATTTTAAGTGGTAGGAGAAACCGGAGCAGACACAGGGAGAACAAGCAAACTCCACTCAAAAAGGCAAGGCAAGGCAAGTTTATTCATATAGCACAATTCATACACAAGGCAATTCAAAGTGCTGAACAAAACAAGAAAGCATTAAAATCATAAATAATCACAGAACATTTAAAAGAAAGATACAAATATAAAATCCCTCAGTTGTATGCACAGCTAAACAGAACTGTCTTTAACCTGGTTTTAAACATTGTCAGAGAGGAGGCCTGTCTCACATCTTCAGGAAGACTGTTCCAGATTTTAGCAGCATGAATCTGAAAAGCTGCCTCCCCATGTTTAGTTCTGACTCTGGGCACTAACAGGAGTCCAGTCCCTGTGCTCCTCAGAGTCCGGGCTGGTTCATATGGGACTAACATGTCACTAATATATTTTGGTGCGAGGCCATGGAGAGACTTGTACACAAGCAGAGCTGTTTTAAAGTCTATTCTCTGAGCCACAGGAAGCCAGTGCAGAGACCTGAGAACTGGACTAATGTGGTCGTACTTCCGGGTTCTAGTCAGGACTCGAGCTGCTGCATTTTGAATGTACTGCAGCTGTTTTACAGCCTGTAAGGCCCTGGTCCGACCGGGAATCGAACCTAGGACCTTCTTGCTGAGAGGCAAAAGTGCTATTCACTCAGCCACCGTGCAACAAAGTCCATTGTTCAATCCAGATCATTATCGCAGAAAAAGTCACCCCATGGAAAACTCCCAAAATGTTAATACTGTTCCTATAATCACTACATTTCTGGGACTCGTGATATTTCAAAGGCAAAACTAAATATTATCTTTGCACAGGCATAAAGGTCATGCACAACTCTTATCAACTCTTGCACAATCGTCCAGATAAAAACAGCTGCACCTCCTTATGTGAGAGTCTGGATTATGAATTCTAGTGTTATCATTTTTCTTCTTCTGGGAAGAACATGCAAACTCTACACAGAAAGGCCTGGGGGGACTCAAACCCAGGACTTTCTTGGTTCTGTGCCACAGTCATAATTTGTTATAATTTCATGATTATATTAATGAAAAAACATAGAAACACAAGGATTCAAGGAATATCTGTTGTTCACTTTTCTTCATTTCCTGATAATTCCAAATCCTCTTTGAGCAATGTTTGTACTGACAAACAGACAAACGCTGGTGATCGGTGCAGGTCATGTGCCACTCAAATAAAACAGAACTCACTGTTACCTGTAGGAGGGTAATAGAACTGTTCCACATGATAAAGGTTTTCTCCAGCGTAGTGAGTAATGGACGTGGATTTTTGAAACAAGGCTGATTTCAGATTCAGGTTCAAAATGAGGATTTTAATTGTTTCTATTATTTTATGTAAAGTCAAATATTTGTGTTGTTCATTAAATACTATATTATATTATGATACGAGGTAGATTTATAGTAACACTTTAATCTAGTTTCTTATTGGTTCTTTGGCCCCTTCACAACCAGTATAAAAGTGAAAGTGATGCAGACTCCGCAGAAGATCCCGGCGGACGAGGACAATCTCTGCAGACCATGAGTTCAAGTGAGACTCTTTCCTTTCTTTTAAGCTCCAGGCCTTTCTATGTAGTGTTAGCATGTGTGTACGTAAGTTTCCTCCAGGTGCTCCGGTCTACCCTAACACTCAAAACATGTACAATAGGTCTGAATGTAAAGTGATGTGAGCGTGATCGGAATCTCTTCTGTCATCACTGTGTGTGGAGGGAATGGGATTTAAAGAGCTTTGTGACATTGCTTTGTGAAATGTGTTATACAGATTACTGACTTATTTTATTTTATTCCTTTATGACAAAAATATTACTGTAACTAAATACGTATTAAATAGCTAAAACATGCTACTGGTAATGAAAACATAATTTGGTGTGGTTTTTTTTCAATGTATTTACAATGTTCTAATATTGGTAGAATCTAAAAGTAATCTTCATTTATACAGAGCAAGGTCACACAAAGCTCTGTGTCTGTAGAATATAAATCATATAAGATAAAATAAGATAGACTTTATTGATCTCACACAGGAGAAATGTACATGTCACATCTGGCATGGATAGAATCACTGAAGAAGAAAAATAATGTTGTGCAAAGAAAGAAGTGTGGAAACATGTTAATTGCAGGATATATTATGTACAATAAAAGTGGCAATTAAGAAACAGTGGCAATAGTAGTGCAAGTTTATTTTTTTTTGTCCTAGTGCAAGTGACTCAAAGTGACTTATTGTACAGTCTGACAGCAGTGGGGATAAAGGCCCTGCGATATTCATCAGTTTTAGCACATATTACAGATAAAAAAATAACTAAATTTATTAATTTTAATGAAAGCTGTGAAAACCAAGAACTGTTTTTTAAAGACCAGTCGGAGTTCCTGTTCTGGGAGTTCTAGTAGTTTCAGAATTCTCTAAGTCCTAGAGTTAATAACCAGCAAATTATTGTTCTCACATAGCACTAGAGGCCTGTAAAGAACAAACCAAGGGGAAGTAGAGCGTGCCCCAACACCACAGATCATTCTGAAAGTATAATGGGGTCTCCTAGCTTCATAAGATCAGATTCATCAGATTCATTTATTTGCCATTTGCAGTAAAACCACATTGGAAAAACTGTGCAAGACTACCCCGGTGTGCACCACGACACACACCAGAGCTCTTGCCACGGCGCCATCTTTACGGCGCCATGCTATAAATCCCATCAACACACCACATTTTAGTTAAATCTGCTATTGCTTTTGGGAAATCCAGTGTACTGACAGACACATTCTCTTGCGATTGATATCTGCAGATGAAAAGAAAGCCTTCAAGGAGGTGAAGGAGGTCACTAAGGACATTGTGATTGCAGGGAATGTGGGCGCTACTGCAGGCGGCGCCCTCGGGGGTCCGGCTGGAGCTGCAGCAGGGTGGGCAGCTGGGGCAGCAGTGGGAGGAGCTGTCGTCCACATCAAGAAGGCGTCTGACTAGTATTCAACCAATGAGCTGAATATGCCCCCCGCCCCCCATATTATGTGTAGTGTTATCTTTGCACCATTTAACCCTCCCTCACCACTGGGCCAAAGAAGTCACTTAAACTGACTTCTCCCTGGACTTTTGGATTCGTCTCTCTCTGTTCAATGTCTTCTGGGATTAGTTTTTAATATACTGTATCTTTGTTGAGCACAGTTTATTTAGTTGTATGTGGAATTGTGTATACAGATAAATACATTGTTTCTACTCAGATGTTGAAATTCCTTCAAGAATTAAATAATGACTCCAAATGGCTGTGATTTTTTTTTAGCAGATTATTTTGTCACAATATAAACCTTTCAAATTCATGATCATACATACATCATACTAGTAATAGTACATTGTTTGTACCCATGATCGTAAATGATCTTTTCTGATATGGTTCAAAGTTGATCACAGTCAAATGTTCATTTACATAATACAATTGAATTGACCTTTAATCTTGTTGTAGGCCGACTTCAACGTTTGAAACGCCCCCTGTTGGGTTTAGCAATGGACCCGAAAGCAGAGACTGCTACAGACAAATGTTTAAAGAGTTTATTTCCAACAAAACTGGAGGCAGGCAGTGGTGGCAGGGAATAGGCCGACTTCAACTCCGACTCAGGAGGTATCTGGCACACGGGAAAAAAACTGGTATGTATCCGAAACAAAGGTAACTGCAACTAGATCCAGCTGCTGCTACCGAGCACGATGGAATAATCTGGCAGTGTGGTGCTGAGAAATCCTGGCATTCATACTGGTCTTAATTAGTGATGAAGCACCGGTGTTGAGACTCAGCACCAGGAGAAGTCAGCCACGCCCCTGCCACACACTGCTCTGCTGCAACACAAAACACAGGGGGGAGGGGAACAGAACAAAAACCATAACACTCCCAAATACAAAGACACTGAGTGATCTTAAGACTGAGGAAAGGACTGAGGACAATTCAATTCAATTGAAAATAAATATACATTTATTAAATAATTGTAATATGAGGGAGTGACTTATGGCAGGTGTTTACGGGTGAATGGTTTTGAGTAACAGCTTTTTTAACATTACTTTTTATAAAAGATAGAAGGGTTTCAGTTCTTTTTCAGTGCATTTATCTATGTCAGACATTTCTGAAACAAAATCCTGTTTGAAAAGTGTATTTGTCTGATCCGACGTAATCTATAATTCTTATTGCCCCTTTTTTGGATCAAACTTATTGGGTTGTGTAAGTTTGTGTTCCCTCACACCTCCTCGGCCATTGTTTGCTTAGAAGAGCACCAAGGAACAATACAATACATAAATATGCCATCTCCTGGTCACTGGTGGAATATCCATTCTGTCACACATTATAATTAGTGATATATATATTTTTTTTTCCCAGATGAACCAAAAGTCAATGACGAAGTGAAGGATGCCATTTTGGACATTGTTAGGTCAGCAAGTGGCGCTGCAGGTGCTGCACCCGGGGGGTTTGTTGGTTGTGGAGGAGGGGTCTCCCTAGGAGCCGTATCTGATGGACACCATTTCACGTTCCCGAGACGCCGATCCAAAGACATGTCACCCCCCATGACCAGCTCTGATGGGACTCCTCTGTCACATTCAACAAAACAATAATGAGAAAGTAACAAAAGAAGCGTAAAAACTAATGAGTTCTGTTTCTCAGAAAAGAGTTGTGACGGTGTTCAGAGTAACGTGGCTTGTTGCACGATCACAGCAATGCTCCATCACACACAGCTCTGAACATAAATGTAGACAAAGAGAAACCTTTTTTTTTCCTTTTAACTACGTCGTATTTTAGCAACAGTGTAATAATGGGAGTAATAAAGCAGAGGAGCAGCTAGAGGGACACGTGTGTTTGAAATATCCTAAGTCACAATATCATTGTTTAAGTCCCAGTTATTGTAAGTGTTATCATTCAATGGTTGCAATTATTATCTAGATAATAATCAGTCCTCTTCTATGCTATGTCAATTTAGTAGTTTGCACTGTCTTCACAATGCTGCCATCTAGCTGTAATGAAACACATCACAACCGTTTGAATATAACTTAGGAGACATAACGACAAAACAAAGACATGATGTGTAAAGACGTGTAAATATTTCTAAGAATGTATACGTCATTATATTTATATATATATATATATATATATATATATATATATAAATATCCAAGCGATGGTAACATCCGGAAAAAAGAACATGAAAAGCTTGAGAAATACCAAGGTCTCAGAGAGGAGCTGGAGAGGGCCTGGAGGGTAAAGGTGACAGTAGTGCCCGTGGTGATCGGTGCACTCGGGGCAGTGACCCCGAAGCTAGATGAGTGGTTACAGCGGATCCCTGGAACAACCTCGGACATCTCGGCCCAGAAATGTGCAGTGCTAGGAACAGCAAAGATACTGCGCAGAACCCTCAAGCTCCCTGGCCTCTGGTAGAGGACCCGAGCTTAGAGAGGGATAACCGCCCGCGGAGGGCCAAAGGTGAGTGGACAATTTATTTATTATTATATATATATATATATATATATATAATGACTCCCACTGATGACTGCTATTGTTGTGTCCTTGGGCAAGACACTTAACCCCACTTTGCCCAAAGCCCCCACTGAAAGATCAAGGCTATGCTCTCACTCAGAGAGCAGCCGTCCTCCTGTGGACTCACCACCTGCAGAGGGTCAGTGAGGGGCTGGTGCTATGAGACTTGGGTGGCATCTCTGACTGCCACCCCCCTGACCCAGAAATGGATTAAAGGGTAGAAAATGGATGGATGGATGGATGGATGTATATATATATATATATATATATATATATGATATGATGGTATATTTAATTTGATGTTTTTAAGAAGTTGTTGTGTACCTTTCACAAAACACATCATTACTTTTTTGACCATGTTTTAGCACTACAATTTCACCTCCTCGTTGGGATTGAATATATGCTACGGATGTTGCCAGGCAACTATGTGATAAAATAGACCTAAACTTTCCTCAGAAATAACGATTTTATGAACATTTGTTTATTTAGGGAATTATCATGGTGTCATAAACATGTGTTTGTTGCAACATAAAGGATGTATTCCACTTTTCATCACAAACTGTGACTGTTGGTCATAAGCAGGTGTCGTTCCAACAAATGACATTGAAATAATTAAAAAAAAAACACATTGGAACCTGTCATAGTTTTTCTCTATCGCTAGTTTTCACATGCATGTCATTTTTTCCTGTCACTATTTAGACAGAAAAGTGAAAGAGAGAGGACCACCCTCATCCAGCAAAATATCTCCCAGCCCAAAGTGTCAAATAGTGACTCACAGGTGCAAAAGATAGGTAGAGCATTGGCCTTTGAGCCACAGGGTTGTGGGTTTGAGCCCGACTTTCACCATCGAGTCTGGTGTGTGTGAATGGCACATACTGGTTGCCTCGCTTCTGTCAGTGTGCCCCAGGGCAGCTGTGGCTACAGGAGTAGTTTATCACCACTGTGTATGGAGTGAAAGAATAATGACACATGTAAAGCGTCTTTGTGTGTCCAAAAAAGTGCTATATAAAACCAATGCATTATTATCATCAATAATGTACGATGAAGACGTATGTTTTGCTCTGATTTGTTCACATCATCTTTCTGTTAGAGCAATTTTAAATAATGTATCTGATTTGTAAAGATAAATAAGAGGATAACCATAATAAGGTGAAGCTACGTGGTTTGTATATTGTGCAGAGTCATTTGTGTGACCTGTGTCTTAAGTATGTGGCTCTGAAATGCTGGTTTGTCAGAGAACACAGGGAACGCCTTCTGCAGTGAAAGAGACGAATACTTATGAAACACATGTGACCGAAGCTGGAGGTCTGAAGACACAGATTCAACATGAGCGGAGACTATGCAGGTAAGAATCATTTAAACCAATGTTATTGAAAAGTCTATGACACAAATATTTTTTCAATCAGGATGTACAATAAACAACTGCTATTATGTGTTGGAAAACATAATAGAATTGCTACACCAATATGCAGTAGCAGAGGTGGCAAAAGTACTCATCTTAGGTACTCAAGTAAAGGCATAGATAGTAAACAAGTGAACTTTGGTAAAGGGAAGTATTGGAGCACTTATTTACTGTAGGTAAAAGTATAAAACTACAACTACTTTTGCATACTTCCAAGTCCATTCCTCACTTGTCCTTGTGGTGAGATAGAAAGATACAGTTTGCTTGAAATGTCAGTTTAGTTCTCAAATATATTGGTTTTCAGTGAGAAGACCGAACGAAACCCCACAGATATAACTTGTAACTTATGCCAGTGAAATTGAAAGTAAAAGGAAGGATTCATGTCAAACGATTCATGTCGACGACACTGAAATTTCTCCACTGTGAGACTAATAAAGGTTATCTTATCTTATCTTATTTTTTCATGGGTAAAATTCTAGAAAAAGTTGTCTATCAACAACTTACAGAATTTTTAATAATCAATCACTCTTTTGATATGTTCCAGTCTGGTTTTAGACCCCACCACAGCACAGAGACCGCTCTAGTGAAGGTAACAAATGACATCAGACTTAACACTGACGCAGGAAAAGTCTCAGTTCTTATCCTGTTAGATTTGAGTGCTGCTTTCGACACTGTCGATCATGGTATCCTCATTCAGAGACTTGAGGACTGGGTTGGTGTTTCTGGAACAGCCCTAAGCTGGTTTATATCCTACCTACAGGACAGAAAGTATTTTGTGGAGATCGGAAACTGTGTCTCAGACCATCTGGCCCTGACCTGCGGAGTGCCACAGGGCTCAATCCTGGGGCCTCTCCTGTTTAATATTTACATGCTGCCTCTGGGTAGGTTAATACACAGTAATAACGTGTCCTATCACAATTACGCTGACGATACTCAGGTCTATGTGTCCCTGACAGCAGGAGAACATGGACCAGTGGACTCGCTCCTTCACTGTATCCAACAGATCAGTGATTGGATGCAAAATAACTTTCTCCAGCTAAACACAGAAAAAACTGAAATTATTGTTTTCGGACCTCAGAAACAAAGAGAGAGCGTTATCTGCCACCTCCAGTCTCTCTCCCTGAAACCCTCAACTCAGGTCAGAAATCTAGGAGTAATAATGGACTCAGACTTGAATTTCAATAGCCACATATCATCTGTGACATCATCAGCTTACTTCCACCTAAGAAACATTGCTAAAATTAAAAACATTGTGTCTAAAGCAGACTTGGAGATTCTTATCCACGCATTTGTCTCCAGTCGATTGGACTACTGCAATGGCTTGTTCACAGGTCTCTCTAAACAAGCGGTAAAACAGCTGCAGTACATCCAAAATGCTGCAGCTCGAGTCCTGACTAGAACCAGGAAGTACGACCACATTAGTCCGGTCCTCAGGTCTCTGCACTGGCTTCCTGTGGCTCAGAGAATAGATTTTAAAGTAGCTTTACTTGTGTACAAGTCTCTCCATGGCCTCGCACCAGGGTACATCCGCGACATGTTGGTGCCATATGAACCAACTCGGGCTCTGAGGAGCACAGGGACTGGACTTCTGTTAGTGCCAAGAGTCGGAACTAGACATGGGGAGGCTGCGTTTCAGATTCATGCAGCTAGAGTCTGGAACCGTCTTCCCGAGAGTGTGAGACAGGCGTCTACTCTGGCAGTTTTTTAAAACTGAACTGAAAACAGTTCTTTTTAGCTGTGCATACAAGTGAATGATTTTACATTTGTTTTTATCTTTAATCTTTTTAATGCGCTATGATTATTTATGATTATTTATGATTGTAATCCCTTGTGTGATTTTAATTTTTTACGGTTTTTAACTACTTGTGTGATTTTATATATCTTGTGCTCTTAATCTGTCTTTTTATGTTTACTTAAATTCTAATGTTTGATGATTTATGCATGATGTTATATGGGTTGTGAGGCGCTTTGCGTTGCCTTGTGTAGGAAAGGCGCTCTATAAATAAACGTTGATTGATTGATTGATTGATCTTATATCTATGAGACATTTTGGGCACTGCCTTTGAAACCTTTAAACGTGTGGTTGTAGACTGAAAGAGAGACGACAAACATATTTTGAACTTAAGCCAAATGGTTACGTGAGCTTAGAAGCATGGCTAACCACTTCAAACCGGTTTGTTATGTCATGTATTCATCTGTAACATGTCATTTTAAAATGGAAGGTATATCATTTAAAGTGCAGGTTTGTGTTTAAAAGTAAGGAGTAATAATGAGAGACGGAAAAAAAAAAAACTTAAATAGGAATAACTTGATTAAATAAATGCTAAAACAATATATTTGCTTAAGCCAAAAGAACAGGACTAACCTGATTGAACTATTGTTGTACTGCTGCTGGTACATTTCTTTTTTAAACTTTTATTCTACAATCTGCAAGAATGATTTTGCATATTCTATTGTAACCTTCAAATTCTGAGGACAATAATAATAACTGCATGACACCTCACTGTGTTGTCGTCTGGTGGGTTTTAGGCCGATAGGACAAATGCACACAAAAGATTGTTATAGACTGATGTTGATAGCAACGACCTCATTGGTTATTTTCCCGTGAACATATTGGCATGATATGGCAGTACCAATCAAGCAACATCACACCAGACTCCACCCATTTCCTCAAATGAGTCCAGTCTCAACCTGGAGAGTTGAGGAAATAGGTGGAGACTGGTGTGCTCTTGCTTAGTTGGAATGAAAACCTGCAGCCAAAACAGCCCTTTGAGGACTGAGTTCAATACCCCTGTCATGTAGTTTATAGAAATAGACACAATTACATTTGAAATAAGAGAAGAAACAAGAACTATTCCTTCATCATATTGTCTTCAACAGCTTGACTGATCAAAAGCATCAACAATGGGGGAAAAAAATCAAAGGACTATGGACACAAACTGGCTGTTGACCTTACACTATAAAGTTATGCTTTTTAGGTATCCATGTGTTTCAGGGTGATGAAATAATGCCATAACTCCTGTCCTCTGGGGCCTGAGAATACTGCTTCAAACAATAAGTTGAAACCTATGGATAGCTGTGTCTTGAACATAGACTGTCTATCAATGGACAATGCTAACCCAAAGCTCAAAGAGGCCCAATTGGGAAGTGATCTTGGATGAAGTTTGGCTCCTCAAGCCCAGTAACTAGCTCATTTAGTTCTTAAAAGAACTTGTGGTTTAGAACTGTCTATGACCCTTGTGTTTATATTGTAATATTATGAGATATGAGCCACATAAGAATTGACCAATTAGATGCCTTCATTCACGGTGGAAACTTGAGCTTGCGTTTGCAACCATAGCAACACGTCTGCCTCTGTTACATTTGCGAAGGTAACCCTGTCAGAACGAATGTCCATAAAAGGAAATTGGCTCTAGCTTATGTTGAAATCAGCTTCTTCTGCTTTCTGAAAAGACCATCAGCACTCGCTCAGTCCACTCTTAATACACAGTCTATTGTCTTGAGATTTTAAAAAGCTGCTAAAAGGCTTTCGGTACTGGCTCCTTTTTCATTTGAGAGCATTGCATCCCCTTTCAGGCTTTCTTCAATCTGAAAACTACCAATATTTGTGTCCGACAGGCTATAAGGGCTACGACCAGGGCGAATGGAGGCTCGTTCTGGTCGGAAAAACTGGAGTGGGCAAGAGCGCAGCCGGGAACACCATCCTGGCACGAGAGGCTTTTGAGTCTGAGCTGTCCCCCTCCTCTATGACGTCAGAATGCCACAAAGCCAAAGGGTTCATCGGCGGGCATCATATTGCTGTTATCGATACTCCGGGGCTTTTCGACACAAATTTCCCCCAAGAGGAAGTTTTGAAAAGGATTAAGATGTGCATTTCGCTGTCTTCGCCTGGCCCGCATGCGTTTTTGATTTGCCTCCAGCTCGGGAGGTTCACCAAGGAGGAGAAGGAAACCGTGCAAATGATTCAAACCACATTCGGGGAAGAGGCAGCCAACTACACCATGGTTTTGTTCACTCACGGTGATCAGCTACAAAGGCAAAACATCGAGTCCTACATAGCAGAGAATGCAGATCTGCGGGAGCTGATTCAAAGTTGCCACAACCGCTATCACGTCTTCAACAACGAAATCAAAGACGAGAAGCAAACGTATAAACTTTTTGACATAATTGAGGAGATGATAGGAAGCAACGGAGGCGGGTTTTACACCAACGAGATGTTCAAGCGAGCAGAGGAGGCTATCGAGAAAGAAAAGCACCGTCTTCTGATGGAGTTGGAAGAGCAGCGCAGACAGGAGCTGGAGAAGTTGCGCTCCAAGTACGGCAAAAACCAAAATGTCTACTACAAGGAGGAAATAAATGTGAACATGAGATACCAAAACAAGGCCCGGATGCAAGCCGAGAAGTCCAACGAGTTCACGGCATCTCCGGCTATCGCCGTGTCAGCAGCCTGTGGCGCGGCCGTCGGAGGGTTATTAGGTATAGCCGGGGGTCCGATTGGGATCGTAGTGGGATTCGGGGTCGGAGCAGCTGTGGGGGCAGGTGTGGGAGCTTTGGCCATACATGTGTCCAAGGGATGCAAAATACAGTGAAGTGTCCAGCAGAAACACAACGCTACATTTGAAACTTGGAGAATTAAAAAAATGTGAAAATCATGTATTACAGAAAAAACGTGAAAACAATATGATGTAAGGATTACACTTTAAAAATCAACTCATTTTTGGATATCCCTAAATTACAACAGCAGTCATCTCAGAGGACTTTACAAGGTTGCGGATTCCTCAACAATAGATCAGAGAATCAAACAAATTGAAAAAAGAAATTAACAAAACAATAAATATTTAGCATGTTTAGAAACTTAGTTCAACATCCTGTTGTATAACAGATCTTTAAAAATAACTGTATAATGCAAACTGTAAGCTTACTGTTTGTGCTCAATGCTGTGTGTTTCTAGGTGACGCATCAGGTGGAGTGATGATTTTACAAGGTTTAAACAGTAATAAAGATGCAGTTGGTGACTTTGTTAGCTTAGCCATAGCACCAGCTCGAAACCACTCCCCCCTCCCCTCACCTCTCCACCAAACCAAACATCCAGCATTATCTTTTCTTTGTCACAACAGGGAGAGTGGGTGGCAAACGTGAAATTGGCATTTTCTGTTCAGCCCTTTTAGGTTTTAGAAAATAAATCCGATAAGGCGTGCCCACTCGAGAGAAACAGGAAGAGGGTGAATGGGGTTAACGCATCTCATTGGTTTGTTGGGGATGAACGAATCCCATTGGTTTATTTTCATCGGTCTGCTCCAAAATATTTATTAATAATTTTTGGAGACAATAGGCATGGTCAATTCCATTACTATTTGAAAACACATGATAACTTGACTACTTTTAGGGTTTAGGGACGTGTTTCCACAATATTAAGATAAGATAAGATAAACCTTTATTAGTCTCACAGTGGAGAAATTTCAGTGTCATCGTTGCACATTACAGCAGAGAAAGGAAATAAGAGCACTCAGATTGCACACATCAAAGTCTATTATTTAAGATAATAGACAATAAATTTAAGATAAAAAAATAAAAATAAAAATAAGAAACTCTGGGCTATGATTGCACTTGGTTCGGAGTATTTACAGATGTCTATATTATACATTAGCAGCAGAGAATATGAGAATATGAATATGAGCAGAATAAACATCAGAAATAATATCAACAGGTAAAGCGACTTGAATGGGAGAATTATCAGATGGATATGAATAATACAGTAAGATATCAAAACAAATTGCGTCTGGAAAAAAAAAAATCACTGACTGCATCTTTAATCAACGGAAGTTTTCAGAAGAATCCTCAATGACCATGGCACGGATCAATCAATCAATCAATCATGATACAATGGTATAAAATACCTCAACAGATAGACAAATAATTAACATTATATTGGTCTACATTGTAAGTTGAACAACAGAAGTGAATGGACTTTTGAACCATTTTACAACTTTTCAAATTTCACCTGTATGTATTCATGCAAGCTTGTAAAAGTAAATTAATCTCTTTGTGTAGAATTTTGTTGCAATCTTATAAACAATCGAGTTATGTCCATGGAAGGATACAGTCGTCATCCACCTGTGAAAAGTTGCTGATTCTATCTTTTCTGAGGCTGACTGAGTATTTAGTGATGAAGCCCATGACGTTAAATCGGTAGCTTTTAAGGAGAAATATGATTCATTATTATTTTCCATTAAAATGTATAATTGGACTTTTAATTTTTCGTTTTATGATTTAGAATGTGAAATAATTATTATGTAGAAGTCTATGAAGAAAATACATAGCAACAATGTAGCAACATAAAACAAAAATGCTATCCGTCTAACTCCCTGTACTACACACGAGTAAAGAACTTTTATGAGCAATACTTGCATTAAAAGAAACAAGGGGCGGAGTTACATGTTTGTGCCAAGTTCCTGATAGTAGCGTGGATGGATCAAAAAACAACTCCGAAACCATGCGTAACACGGTTGAAATCTCTAGCTCGATTTTGCACATTGTCTTTTGACATGTTTTTGTTCTTTTCTTATTCCTTTCATCGTTCATGTTAACTGAATGAAAAAGTTGCATGTATTATATCTATGCTGTACTGTATGTAAAAACAGAGCTATAATTATATGTTATTGTAAAGGCTTGATGATGACAAGATGAAGTAATAAAACCTGAAAATCAACATTGAGTTGTGTTATTGCCAATGATTTTTCCAAGAACTTGAGAGTCCCAACTCCGATACAGCAGCAAGAAATGGAAATATTTTGGGTGTGATGGTTTAATGTGACTGTTGCTAAAATATTTGTATTAAATCCTCAAGATTGTGGAAGGTGGCAATCAGTACCCTAGTGTTTTGTAGTCCAATATTTTGTCTTCTTATAGATTCTACCAGTTCATTCTGTTTTTAAGAAGTGTATTTTTCCCCCCAAACCTGACAGTTTTAATTTCTGGCGCACCGTCTTCTTCTGGTGGTAGGAAGACCGTGCCAGAAACGTTATAAAACATCTGACAAGACATGTTACAGGAAGAAGACTACTCAACATACACACACACACACAAACTCAAATTGTAGAATCAATGTTTTGTCCGTTCAAACTAAACCAATGGCATTTGATTAGATCACCATTTAAAGAAGAGGTAGTACGCATCATTGTATTTAGAGTGTGTCTGATACATGAGATCTTTGTGATAACCCACAAAAGCCTTCGACAAACATGGATGCTTTACTAGAATAACATTGTGCCCTTTTAACAAAACTAAAAGCATGAAACACATGACTATAAAAGGAAACATCAGCATTTGATAATTATCTTTTGTGCTAACTATAGGGTTTTGTCAATTCACAATTCAGTGGATTTGTCCAGAGTGAAAATTATCATTAGTCAATTCAAAGCGGTCCCACACTGCCTTGCATCTCTCCATCGGCTCAAATATGTTCAAAACATATTGCTCTGCACATGAGTGTGAAAAACCCTTCATGTTGTACTATATCATCTCATAATTGGAACCTTCTATCAAAATCTAGTCCTGCAACTCAGTTTTGGGAACATATTATACATGTTCTTTCCTGCAGAGGGTCAGTGAGGGGCTGGTGCTATGAGACTTGGGTGGCATCTCTGACTGCCACCCCCCTGACCCAGAAATGGATTAAAGGGTAGAAAATGGATGGATGGATGTATATATATATATATATATATATATATATATATATATATATATATATATATATATATATATATGATATGATGGTATATTTAATTTGATGTTTTTAAGAAGTTGTTGTGTACCTTTCACAAAACACATCATTACTTTTTTGACCATGTTTTAGCACTACAATTTCACCTCCTCGTTGGGATTGAATATATGCTACGGATGTTGCCAGGCAACTATGTGATAAAATAGACCTAAACTTTCCTCAGAAATAACGATTTTATGAACATTTGTTTATTTAGGGAATTATCATGGTGTCATAAACATGTGTTTGTTGCAACATAAAGGATGTATTCCACTTTTCATCACAAACTGTGACTGTTGGTCATAAGCAGGTGTCGTTCCAACAAATGACATTGAAATAATAAAAAAAAAAACATTGGAACCTGTCATAGTTTTTCTCTATCGCTAGTTTTCACATGCATGTCATTTTTTTCCTGTCACTATTTAGACAGAAAAGTGAAAGAGAGAGGACCACCCTCATCCAGCAAAATATCTCCCAGCCCAAAGTGTCAAATAGTGACTCACAGGTGCAAAAGATAGGTAGAGCATTGGCCTTTGAGCCACAGGGTCGTGGGTTCGAGCCCGACTTTCACCATCGAGTCTGGTGTGTGTGAATGGCACATACTGGTTGCCTCGCTTCTGTCAGTGTGCCCCAGGGCAGCTGTGGCTACAGGAGTAGTTTATCACCACTGTGTATGGAGTGAAAGAATAATGACACATGTAAAGCGTCTTTGAGTGTCCAAAAAAGTGCTATATAAAACCAATGCATTATTATCATCAATAATGTACGATGAAGACGTATTTAGACGTTTTGCTCTGATTTGTTCACATCATCTTTCTGTTAGAGCAATTTTAAATAATGTATCTGATTTGTAAAGATAAATAAGAGGATAACCATAATAAGGTGAAGCTACGTGGTTTGTATATTGTGCAGAGTCATTTGTGTGACCTGTGTCTTAAGTATGTGGCTCTGAAATGCTGGTTTGTCAGAGAACACAGGGAACGCCTTCTGCAGTGAAAGAGACGAATACTTATGAAACACATGTGACCGAAGCTGGAGGTCTGAAGACACAGATTCAACATGAGCGGAGACTATGCAGGTAAGAATCATTTAAACCAATGTTATTGAAAAGTCTATGACACAAATATTTTTATCAATCAGGATGTACAATAAACAACTGCTATTATGTGTTGGAAAACATAATAGAATTGCTACACCAATATGGAGTAGCAGAGGTGGCAAAAGTACTCATGTTAGGTACTCAAGTAAAGGCATAGATAGTAAACAAGTGAACTTTGGTAAAGGAAAGTATTGGAGCACTTATTTACTGTAGGTAAAAGTATAAAACTACAACTACTTTTGCATACTTCCAAGTCCATTCCTCACTTGTCCTCGTGGTGAGATAGAAAGATACAGTTTGCTTGAAATGTCAGTTTAGTTCTCAAATATATTGGTTTTCAGTGAGAAGACCGAACGAAACCCCACAGATATAACTTGTAACTTATGCCAGTGAAATTGAAAGTAAAAGGAAGGATTCATGTCAAACGATTCATGTCGACGACACTGAATTTTCTCCACTGTGAGACTAATAAAGGTTATCTTATCTTATCTTATATCTATGAGACATTTTGGGCACTGCCTTTGAAACCTTTAAACGTGTGGTTGTAGACTGAAAGAGAGACGACAAACATATTTTGAACTTAAGCCAAATGGTTACGTGAGCTTAGAAGCATGGCTAACCACTTCAAACCGGTTTATGTCATGTATTAATCTGTAACATGTCATTTTAAAATGGAAGGTATATCATTTAAAGTGCAGGTTTGTGTTTAAAAGTAAGGAGTAATAATGAGAGACGGAAAAAAAAAACTTAAATAGGAATAACTTGATTAAATAAATGCTAAAACAATATATTTGCTTAAGCCAAAAGAACAGGACTAACCTGATTGAACTATTGTTGTACTGCTGCTGGTACATTTCTTTTTTAAACTTTTATTCTACAATCTGCAAGAATGATTTTGCATATTCTATTGTAACCTTCAAATTCTGAGGACAATAATAATAACTGCATGACACCTCACTGTGTTGTCGTCTGGTGGGTTTTAGGCCGATAGGACAAATGCACACAAAAGATTGTTATAGACTGATGTTGATAGCAACGACCTCATTGGTTATTTTCCCGTGAACATATTGGCATGATATGGCAGTACCAATCAAGCAACATCACACCAGACTCCACCCATTTCCTCAAATGAGTCCAGTCTCAACCTGGAGAGTTGAGGAAATAGGTGGAGACTGGTGTGCTCTTGCTTAGTTGGAATGAAAACCTGCAGCCAAAACAGCCCTTTGAGGACTGAGTTCAATACCCCTGTCATGTAGTTTATAGAAATAGATACAATTACATTTGAAATAAGAGAAGCAACAAGAACTATTCCTTCATCATATTGTCTTCAACAGCTTGACTGATCAAAAGCATCAACAATGGGGGAAAAAAATCAAAGGACTATGAACACAAACTGGCTGTTGACCTTACACTATAAAGTTATGCTTTTTAGGTATCCATGTGTTTCAGGGTGATGAAATAATGCCATAACTCCTGTCCTCTGGGGCCTGAGAATACTGCTTCAAACAATAAGTTGAAACCTATGGATAGCTGTGTCTTGAACATAGACTGTCTATCGATGGACAATGCTAACCCAAAGCTCAAAGAGGCCCAATAGGGAAGTGATCTTGGATGAAGTTTGGCTCCTCAAGCCCAGTAACTAGCTCATTTAGTTCTTAAAAGAACTTGTGGTTTAGAACTGTCTATGACCCTTGTGTTTATATTGTAATATTATGAGATATGAGCCACATAAGAATTGACCAATTAGATGCCTTCATTCACGGTGGAAACTTGAGCTTGCGTTTGCAACCATAGCAACACGTCTGCCTCTGTTACATTTGCGAAGGTAACCCTGTCAGAACGAATGTCCATAAAAGGAAATTGGCTCTAGCTTATGTTGAAATCAGCTTCTTCTGCTTTCTGAAAAGACCATCAGCACTCGCTCAGTCCACTCTTAATACACAGTCTATGGTCTTGAGATTTTAAAAAGCTGCTAAAAAGCTTTCGGTACTGGCTCCTTTTTCATTTGAGAGCATTGCACCCCCTTTCAGGCTTTCTTCAATCTGAAAACTACCAATATTTGTGTCCGACAGGCTATAAGGGCTACGACCAGGGCGAATGGAGGCTCGTTCTGGTCGGAAAAACTGGAGTGGGCAAGAGCGCAGCCGGGAACACCATCCTGGCACGAGAGGCTTTTGAGTCTGAGCTGTCCCCCTCCTCTATGACGTCAGAATGCCACAAAGCCAAAGGGTTCATCGGCGGGCATCATATTGCTGTTATCGATACTCCGGGGCTTTTCGACACAAATTTCCCCCAAGAGGAAGTTTTGAAAAGGATTAAGATGTGCATTTCGCTGTCTTCGCCTGGCCCGCATGCGTTTTTGATTTGCCTCCAGCTCGGGAGGTTCACCAAGGAGGAGAAGGAAACCGTGCAAATGATTCAAACCACATTCGGGGAAGAGGCAGCCAACTACACCATGGTTTTGTTCACTCACGGTGATCAGCTACAAAGGCAAAACATCGAGTCCTACATAGCAGAGAATGCAGATCTGCGGGAGCTGATTCAAAGTTGCCACAACCGCTATCACGTCTTCAACAACGAAATCAAAGACGAGAAGCAAACGTATAAACTTTTTGACATAATTGAGGAGATGATAGGAAGCAACGGAGGCGGGTTTTACACCAACGAGATGTTCAAGCGAGCAGAGGAGGCTATCGAGAAAGAAAAGCACCGTCTTCTGATGGAGTTGGAAGAGCAGCGCAGACAGGAGCTGGAGAAGTTGCGCTCCAAGTACGGCAAAGACCAAAATGTCTACTACAAGGAGGAAATAAATGTGAACATGAGATACCAAAACAAGGCCCGGATGCAAGCCGAGAAGTCCAACGAGTTCACGGCAGCTCCGGTTATTGCCACGGCAGCAGCCTGTGGCGCGGCCGTCGGAGGGTTATTAGGTATAGCCGGGGGTCCGATCGGGGTCGTGGTGGGAATCGGGGTCGGAGCAGCTGTGGGGGCAGGTGTGGGAGCTTTGGCCATACATGTGTCCAAGGGATGCACAATACAGTGAAGTGTCCAGCAGAAACACAACGCTACACTTGAAACTTGGAAAATTAAAAAAATTTGAAAATCATGTATTACAGAAAAAAAACGTGAAAACAATATGATGTAAGAATTACACTTTAAAAATCAACTCATTTTTGGATATCCCTAAATTACAACAGCAGTCATCTCAGAGGACTTTACAAGGTTGCGGATTCCTCAACAATAGATCAGAGAATCAAACAAATTGAAAAAAGAAATTAACAAAACAATAAATATTTAGTATGTTTAGAAACTTAGTTCTGTATTCCTCTTTCTCTTTAAAGATCTTTAAAAATAACTGTATAATGCAAACTGTAAGCTTACTTTTTGTGCTCAATGCTGTGTGTTTCTAGGTGACGCATCAGGTGGAGTGATGATTTTATAAGGTTTAAACAGTATTAAAGATGCAGTTGGTGACTTTTTAGCTTAGCCATAGCACCAGCTCGAAACCACTCCCCCCTCCCCTCACCTCTCCACCAAACCAAACATCCAGCATTATCTTTTCGTGGTCACAACAGGGAGAGTGGGTGGCAAACATGAAATTGGCATTTTCTGTTCAGCCCTTTTAGGTTTTAGAAAATAAATCCGATAAGGCGTGCGCACTCTTTGAAAACACATGATAACTAGGCTACTTTTAGGGTTTAGGGACGTGTTTCCACAATATTAAAAAAAATTGCGTCTGGAAAAAAATCACTGACTGCATCTTTAATCAACGGAAGTTTTCAGAAGAATCCTCAATGACCATGGTATAAATCAATCAATCAATCAATCATGATACAATGGTATAAATTGCCTCAACAGATAGACATATAATTAACATTATATTGGTCTACATTGAAAGTTGAACAACAGAAGTGAAAGGACTTTTGAACCATTTTACAACTTTTCAAATTTCACCTGTATGTATTCATGCAAGCTCGTAAAAGTAAATTAATCTCTTTGTGTAGAATTTTGTTGCAATCTTATAAACAATCGAGTTATGTCCGTGGAAGGAGGCAGTCGTCATCCACCTGTGAAAAGTTGCTGATTCTATCTTTTCTGAGGCTGACTGAGTATTAAGTGATGAAGCCCATGACGTTAAATCGGTAGCTTTTAAGGAGAAATATGATTCATTATTATTTTCCATTAAAATGTATAATTGGACTTTTACTTTTTCGTTTTATGATTTAGAATGTGAAATAATTATTATGTAGAAGTCTATGAAGAAAATACATAGCAACAATGTAGCAACATAAAACAAAAATGTTATCCGTCTAACTCCCTGTACTACACACGAGTAAAGAACTTTTATGAGCAATACTTGCATTAAAAGAAACAAGGGGCGGAGTTACATGTTTGTGCCAAGTAACACGGTTGAAATCTCTAGCTCGATTTTGCACAGTGTCTTTTGACATGTTTTTGTTCTTTTCTTATTCCTTTCATCGTTCATGTTAACTGAATGAAAAAAGTTGCATGTATTATATCTATGCTGTACTGTATGTAAAAACAGAGCTATAATTATATGTTATTGTAAAGGCTTGACGATGACAAGATGAAGTAATAAAACCTGAAAATCAACATTGAGTTGTATTATTGCCAATGATTTTTCCAAGAACTTGAGAGTCCCAACTCCGATACAGCAGCAAGAAATGGAAATATTTTGGGTGTGATGGTTTGGTGCGACTGTTTGTATTAAATCCTCAAGATTGTGGAAGGTGGCAATCAGTACCCTAGTGTTTTGTAGTCCAATATTTTGTCTTCTTATAGATTCTACCAGTTCATTCTGTTTTTAAGAAGTGTATTTTCCCCCCCAAACCTGACAGTTTTCATTTCTGGCGCACCGTCTTCTTCTGGTGGTAGGAAGACCGTGCCAGAATCGTTATAAAACATCTGACAAGACATGTTACAGGAAGAAGAAGACTACTCAACACACACACACACAAACTCAAATTGTAGAATCAATGTTTTGTCCGTTCAAACTAAACCAATGGCATTTGATTAGATCACCATTTAAAGAAGAGGTAGTTCGCATCATTGTATTTAGAGTGTGTCTGATACATGAGATCTTTGTGATAACCCATTGTTCATGTACAAGCAACCCACCCACAAAAGCCTTCGACAAACATGGATGCTTTACTAGAATAACATTGTGCCCTTTTAACAAAACTAAAAGCATGAAACACATGACTATAAAAGGAAACATCAGCATTTGATAATTATCTTTTGGGTAACACTTTACATTACGGGCCGGTAAGTCCATGGTACTTACAGTGGTACTTCTAGGTACTTACAGTGATACTTACGGTGGTACTTACGGTGGTACTTACAGTGGTACTTACAGTGGTACTTACAGTGGTACTTACGGTGGTACTTACAGTGGTACTTACGGTGGTACTTACAGTGGTACTTACGGTGGTACTTACGGTGGTACTTACGGTGGTACTTACGATGGTACTTACAGTGGTACTTACAGTGGTACTTACGGTGGTACTTACGGTGGTACTTACGGTGGTACTTACGGTGGTACTTACGGTGGTACTTACAGTGGTACTTACCGGCCCGTAATGTAAAGTGTTACCATCTTTTGTGCTAACTATAGGGCTTTATCAATTCACAATTCAGTGGATTTGTCCAGAGTGAAAATTATCATTAGTCAATTCAAAGCGGTCCCACACTGCCTTGCATCTCCCGATCGGCTCAAATATGTTCAAAACATATTGCTTTGCACATGAGTGTGAAAAACCCTTCATGTTATACCATATCATCTCATAATTGGAACCTTCTATCAAAATCTAGTCCTGCAACTCAGTTTTGGGAACATATTATACATGTTCTTTAAAAAAATAAAAAAATAAGAAAAAGACAATTTTTAAATATATATATATGTGTATAATGACTACTATATATATGTATAATAACTACAGTTTTCCAGTACTGTAGTATTGGCAAACTCTGTTATATATGTGTTGAAATGGCCTCACTGTGGGACAAATAAAGGATCACCTAATCTTAAAAAATGAAAGCAGTGATCGCACTTGTAACCCAGTTTATTTCAAGCTCTTTCAGACCGAACAAAAGAAGACAATGCATTTTATATAATGTGAGGAATGTGCATCAGAACAGAGAACACCAGACCATACTTGAGTTATTATCTCTGAGTGCAGACAATCCAAATATAAGCAAGGTCTGCATTGCCTTGAATACTTTAAATCTTTGTCCATATTCCAATTCTACATATGCAACAATAAAACACAACTCTGTATCTATATAAACAACAACTTGCTTTATCTGTATTTAGGCTCCAAGAAGCAAAAGAAGAAAGACCAACAACAGCTGCGGATGATCCTGGTCGGAAAAACCGGAGCGGGAAAGAGCGCGGCCGGAAACACTATTCTGGGACGGCAGGAGTTTGCGTCGGAATTATCCTCGTCATCGTGGACCTATCAATGCCAACGGTCAGAGACGACGATCCGCGGACGAAATGTGGCCGTGATCGACACTCCGGGACTCTTTGACACCAATTTCACAGAGGACGAAGTTTTGAAAAAGATTACAACTTGCGTTGCGATGTCCGCGCCTGGTCCCCACGCGTTTTTGCTGGTCCTGAGGTTGGGAAGGTTTACGGAAGAGGAAAAGGAGACTGTGCGATTAATACACAGGACTTTTGGGATGGACGCCGCAAGATTCTCGCTAGTTTTGTTCACGCACGGCGATAAATTGAAGAAAATGACGATCGAACAGTTTATTTCAAAAAGCGAAGATCTCGAGCAGCTTGTGGAGGTGTGTTATGGGAGGTATCATGTTTTTAATAACCAGGACACCAACCCTCAACAGACGGACGAGCTGATTGATAAAATGGACAGAATGGTGACAGAGAATCAGGGAAGGTACTACACAGTGAAGATGTTCAAAAGCGTGACGAAAATGTCCAAACGGGAAAAGAAGCATTTGAAGAAAGAGGAGAAAGCAGAGGAGCTGTCAAGGCAGGACGGGCTCAGGGCAGAGGTGGAGAGAGAGATGGCATCGCAACCTTCACTGGGAAAAGAAAAGAAGAACAAATGTATACTGCAGTGAAAAGTGTGTTACTGGAATCATGACCCAGAAGAGTTTGGGAGGTTCATGTTAAGTTTATTTTATTTACTTCTACATAAGTTGAACTAAATAACTTATTAGTCACTATTTATTAGTGTATCTTTATTGAGTGACTGCATCAACTTATACAGCCACTATTTGTTCTTGAATTCTTAAATCCATTTTATATCTTCCACCAGATTTTGGCTTTCAACACTTTCAAAGTGTTATGCCAAATTTGTACTTAAATAAAAGCATAATAAGGGAATAATAGTGATGTAATAGGCGTGTAATAGTAATAAACGGGTAGTACAGGTGTAATAAAAGTGTAATCATTTTATATTTTTTAATCTTTTTTTGTGTTTTGTTGCACTTTATTTTTCTAAAGGAATGTAGTCACTCACAATGGCTTCAGACTGTTATTTTTGCTATTGTTATTTAGTTTCATTATATTTACTTTATAGTGGTTATTTAACTTAAAATATTAATTTGTGGTTTTGTGTAGTAGAAGTCTTGTCACTTAAATGTTCCCCTTGTGTGTCTTGTGTCAGATCAGTTTGATCAATGTTCAGTTGAGTTCTGTAAGACATTTTTAGCCTCATTTGTTTGTTTTTTTGACATATAATTCTGGCTAATTAAAAGTCTGAAACTTAAATGATAAAGTGTGGTTCCTGCCTCACCATCGGCCCCTTACAAACATATTAGTAACATACAATACAAATAGTAATACTGAAAGTGTTTTTCTTTTGCCTGAAGGTAAAAGAGTACAGTGCCTTGCAAAAGTATTCATCCCCTTTGGCTTTTTACCTTCTTTGTTACATTTCATGTGAGGGATCAGAAAACAATAGTTTAAGTTGGTGAAGTGAATTGAGAAAAATATAAACATAAAACTATTTTTCAGAAATAAAAAAATGGAAATTGGCATGTGCATATGTATTCACCCCCTTTGTTATGAAGCCCATAAAAAGCTCTGGAGCAAAATTACCTTCAGAAGTCACATAAATAGTGAAATGATGTCCACCTGTGTGCAATCTAAGTGTCACATGATCTGTCAGTACATATACCTTTTGTGAAAGGCCTCAGAAGCTGCAACACCACTAACCAAACACTGCCATGAAGACCAAGGAACTCACCAAACAAGTAAGGAACAGTGTTGTTGAGAAGTACAAGTCAGGGTTAGGTTATGATAAAATATCCAAATCTTTGATGATCCCCAGGAGCACCATCAAATCTATCATAACCAAATGGAAAGAACATGGCACAACAGCAAACCTGCCAAGAGACGGCCGCCCACCAAAACTCACGGACCAGGCAAGGAGGGCTTTAATCAGAGAGGCAGCACAGAGACCTAAGGTAACCCTGGAGGAGCTGCAGAGTTCCACAGCAGAAACTGGAGTATCTGTACATAGGACGACAATAAGCCGTACGCTCCATAGGGTTGGGCTTTATGGCAGAGTGACCAGAAGAAAGCTATTACTTTCAGCAAAAAACAAAATGGCACGTTTTGAGTTTGCGAAAAGGCATGCGGGAGACTCCCAAAATTTATGGAGGAAGGTGCTCTGGTCTGATGAGACTAAAATTGAACTTTTCGGCCATCAAGGAAAACGCCATGTCTGGCGCAAACCCAACACATCACATCACCCAAAGAACACCATCCCCACAGTGAAACATGGTGGTGGCAGCATCATGCTGTGGGGATGTTTTTCAGCAGCCGGGACTGGGAAACTGGTCAGAGTTGAGGGAAAGATGGTGCTAAATACATGGATATTCTTGAGCAAAACCTGTACCACTCGGCGGTTCACCTTCCAGCAGGACAACAACCCCAAACACACTGCTAAAGCAGCACTTCAGTGGTTTAAGGGGAAACATGTAAATGTGTTGGAATGGCCTAGTCAAAGCCCAGACCTCAATCCAATAGAAAATCTGTAGTCAGACTTAAAGATTGCTGTTCACAAGCGCAAACCATCCAACTTGAAGGAGCTGGAGCATTTTTGCAAGGAGGAATGGGCAAACATTCCAGTGGTAAGATGTGGCAAGCTCATAGAGACTTATCCAAAGCAACTGGTGGCTCTACATAGTATTGACTTTAGGGGGGTGAATAGTTATGCACATTGACCTTTTCTGTTATTTGTTGTTTGCTTCACAATAAAAAAGACAACATCTTCAAAGTTTTGGGCATGTTCTGTAAATTAACTGATGCAAATCCTAAAACAATCCATGTTAATTTCAGGTTGTGAGGCAACAAAACACACAAAATGCCAAGGGGGTAAATACTTTTGTAAGAGATCATTTTGTACAAGACATTTTTTAACAGGTCCTTTGTTGCTGTAAGATAAGATCTGCAAATACACAACCGTACACACATACACCATGGATGTATTGTATTATGGACACACATCATGACAGACACACACACACCTACACTCTGGCTGTAGGGTCAAACGTCAAACGTTTTTGACCAAAGAGGAAAGACCATGGATGTATATTATATTAACTCTAACATAGTTCTTGGACAGGCATATCAAACTATGGCCCCAGGCCCTTTGTGTTATTGTATGTGACCCTCCACCCTGCTTATCCAAGATACCATTGAGATTATAAACACAAGTCAAATTTTAAATTCCGTCTATGACACTGATGTAGCTGGTGAGAAAGTACACATTCATCATTCAGCCATCTTCAGCTCTCACAAATGTGTATCAGTATGGTCTTATCATACCTCATTTTACATCTCAAAACATGTCGATTCGAGTCTAAATAGTTTCAAAATCCGTGTTGGACACCCCTGGTCCAGGAGCTTCATAGAGAAACAGCGATACCCTGTGGCCAATACGAATATAACACTTCACTCGGTGGACATTTTAAACCACTGAAAACAGTTTCATAATTTTACTCTAAATCTAACAACGACGTCACGTTCACATTGTTGACATTATAATAACTAGTATTTCCTGTGGTCGTATTTTTGTCTTGAGAATCACGTGCCGTTTACATGGTCACGTGGCGTTTGCATGGTCACGTGCCGTTTGCATGGTCACGTGACTTCGCAGTCCACAACATGGAGCTGCTTTTCTCTCCGCTCACACTTTACTTTCTCACTTTAACTTTGCGACTTTGTTCGGCGGAAACGTACGTCCTGGATGATAAAAATGGACTGGGTCGAGTATTTGACGGCATCGGAGGCTTAAGTGGTGGAGGGGTGAGATAAAAAGACACAATATGAATGTTTTTCACTTCCCGGTGTCACTTTAAATGAAATACAGCATTTAACCCAGAGGTCTCCAACCTTCCATGCAGCTTTCCACGTAGCTCCCCAAAGGATTTAAAATGAGCAAATACATTTATATTATACAGTAATCGAAAATGCCCTATTTATGCACTAATACATTATACCCATACAACAATTGATTGTTGTATGTGGATGTAAGGTGAGACTGCAAAAAAGCCAAAACATTCAAGTCAGAAATGGCATTTTATTTAACCCTTGTGCTTCCCTCGGGGCAAAATGACCCACTACAGTGATTATTAAATGTAGAAAAATTTTTCATTAGGATATTTTCTTATTACTGTGCTTGATCAATTTGATTGGATAGCACAATAAACTGTGTTAAGATACATGAATGTAATGTAATAAAGACTAAAGCAGTTTGTTTAATAAAATATGGACATAGGGACAGACATCGCAAATTAGCCTTGGCTATAAATGTTGTAGTGTTTCACATGTTGATTGTGTACCCTTGTCCCTATCAAATAAATAAATACATTTTGTTTTAAGGCTTGCTTAATTAAATAAATCGGCTTTCTTTCACCTGGCTCAAGGAATGATAGCTCATAAATTTGCTCTGATACATTAGTGGCTCTCCTGGAGGGAATGGTTGGATACCTCTGCTTTAAACATATATTTATCTCTGCATTACTAAAGGCAACCTCACGTTTACTGGTGAACTATGACGAGCCATATCGCAGCCAGATTCTGGATTACTTGTTCAAGGTAAATGGTCATTTTACAGGTTTTATTTGTGTGACTTGTCAAATAACATTTTTTCTCTTTCGCGTTAGCCCAACTTTGGCGCATCTTTGCACATACTAAAGGTTGAGATTGGAGGAGATGCACAAACCACAGGTAAGCAGCCTGTGTTTTCATCTATCACTTTACTGTATATCCACGGTGTCCACACGTTTTAATAAGAGGGCCACTTTAGTTCACCAGACTTGTCCAGGCGCGACAACAGGGCTGCTCTGAGCATTATAATTAGCTGTGATGGAGCTGAAGGTGCCTGAATGACAAATTACTAACGCACCGGCTTTATTAGATTCAGATTCAGTTTATTTGCCATTTGCAGTAAAACAACCACATTGGAATACATTGGCAAAAGTCTCCAGTGTGCACAGACAAATACAGACATTAAACAACATTAAAAGACAAAAATAAAACAAATAAAACAGTAAACAAATGTCACTGTGAAATCGATCGACTAAAACAGTTTCAAAACAAGTGCAAATCATTAAAGTGCTCTGTTCAAACTGATAACAGCTTGTGGATAAAAACTGTTAGCGTAACGAGATGTCCTGCATCTCAGAGAGCGATATCTTCTGCCAGAGGGAAGAAGCTGGAACATGGCTTTCCCAGGTTGGCCAGAAGAGTCATTGACAATCCTAAGAGCTTTGTTTAAAAGTCTGGATTCATAAAGAACCTCCAGAACAGAACCAACAAGTAAACTCTCAATGGTGCAGCGATAAAAGTTAAGCAGAATCTTAGAGTTAGTGGTAAATTCTCTAAGTTTACGCAGAAAGTAGAGACGCTGACGAGCTATCTTAACGACTCGGTCAGTGTTTTTAACCCATTTCAGGTCGTTAGACAGAGTTAAACCCTAATTTTACAAGTTTCACCTGCATACTGTATATTACACCAGCTCAAAATGGCCCACCTCTTCAGATCAGACAATGTAGGCATGTCATACCTCATGGTAAAGCTCATAACCTCTGGAATTCAGTCGTTGATTTTAGTTGTAGACTGCGTAACAGTCTACAACTGTTTTATTAATGTCATGAATAAAAACATGTTTAATTTTGTTACGCAGTCTACAACTAAAATCAACGACTGAATTCCAGAGGTTCTGAGCTTTACTATGAGGTATGACATGCCTACATTGTCTGATCTGAAGAGGTGGGCCATTTTGAGCTGGTGTAATATACAGTATGCAGGTGAAACTTGTAAAATTAGAATATCGTTCAAACGTCCATTTACTTTTAGTTAACTTATAATGCACGACAGACTCATTACAGATATCAAGCCTTTACTATTTCATATAATGTTGATAATTAGCGGCTTGAAAGTAAACCATACTCGTCGAAATTATAACAAAAAAACCCTTGGCATATGTCACAAATTACTGAAACCTATACACTTTAAACCATATTATGATATTACTTGGATCTTTTGCATTTTTTCTTTTATTCTAAACTTAATACTTGATATGTACTCCTTACCTTTCCCAAAACTAACTAACAACTAGCAGGGCAGGACCTGGTTTGTGATGGGAGACCTCTGAGAACACCAGGTGCCACAGTACAGTTGCTGTGAGGTTCCAAACTCTTGTTTGTCCTTATGTCATTTCCACATCAACTGGACAATAACAGAGCTTGCATTGCACCAGATGGAACAGAGCCTTCACACATGCACTATGAAGACGATGAAAACTACTTCAGAGGATACGAATGGTGGCTCATGAAAGAAGCAAAGAAGAGAAACCCCAATATCACACTTATTGGTACGTTGCCTGACTCTGAGTTCATGCTAAATCCTTATAATATTAACCATAAAAACCTCTTTGTAAAGCATATGTGGGTGATCAAAAAGTGTGTTTTCTGTCAGGTCTGCCGTGGGCTTTCCCCGGATGGGTCGGTCGAGGTAAAAACTGGCCGTTTGATTTCCCCGACATCACAGCTGCATATGTGGTGAACTGGATCCTCGGAGCCAAGCAGCACCACGACCTGGACATCCAGTATGTGGGGGTGAGTATTCAAGCAGTGTATTCAAACGTGTGCACTCACACTAATAATACTTATATCTGGCACCACTGACTCATTATTATATATTAAGTAGATTTAGCTAAAAAGAAACAAGTTACGCCTTAATGCTGTTATCCTTTAAGCATCGTCAGGAAAAACTTGTAGATGAAACTAAGAAGTATTTCTCCTTTCAAGTAAAAATGTATGTGCGACGCTGCTGATTCTGCATTACAGGAAACAGTATGGGTGATGTTAACACTCAGTCTGTCAGTCGCAGAGCATACCACCGGAGCGTGACATGCGAACATCCCCAGACGACACCATAGCAACGCCAAATATTATGGTTCTCACAGATCTTAATGTATATAGTTAGCAAAGTAGTTTTGAGATTGCATTGTAATGTAGTACAATAGTAATGTAATACAAGCTCACAATATGATTCTTTGACTTTGGATCACCTTCTTTAGGGAAATGTATAGTTTACTACTAAAAATATTGTAGTGTATAGGTCAGTTAAAAATTGTCTACTGTGATTTTCCATTTTGTCTTCTAGATTTGGAATGAACGGAACTTTGACAGCAAATACGTGAAGGTAAGGCAGCTCAAAGCATTCTTTCTATATCCTTTCTGTTTCTTATACAAAAAATACACACACATTTTGACTTGTATGCAAATCAACTTTTTTTATATAACACACTTCATGAAACAAAGATTTTCTAAAGTGCTATACAGTAGGCAGTAAAAAAGTAAATCAATCGAATAAGAGCAAAAAAAATCATAATTGGACTGATTGAGAAAGAGACTTAAGGCCAATGGAAAAATTTGTTTACGTGTGTGTGTACGCAATTGTACACCTGAATGTTCCAATGGGAAAAACAATAGTGACTAGAGAATTTTTTTAGTGCCTAGATTGTGAAACCATCATGTTGTTGGTTGTGTAACATTGGCATGTGACAGTCAAGTGAGATCTCAGGGCGTGTCCGCTTAAGATCTGTCATCATCATACTGGCAACATAAGGACGGGTGACTTTAACTTTCTATTTACCCTTTTCACTTATTATACGCATCAGTTCAAACATACAGTTTGAATAGCCTGGGCCACAAATTCAACTCTTTAAAAAACACATTAAAGTGTCAATACAATTTAAATTCAGTTTACAACCTGGTCACTCACAAGATAAATATATCAAACCATAGAAACCTTCAAAAAGTCTATACAAATCCTGGATCAAAATATATTGTAAGGCGTCCTTGGGTGTCTAAAAGTCAAAATTAAATGTATTTTGTATTGTTATTATTACTGTAGGGAAAAGCTCTCCCGGAGACAGGAGTCGAGAATTAACATTGGGTTTAACTCTGTATATGTTGCATCAGTTGCATATTTTCCTTTAACTATTAATGGCCGTATTGTCCTTGTTAAATTAATATAAAAATGTCATAATTTATGTTTTAATAATAAGCCAGTAAACTATGGAAGTTTATGGCATATCCCCATACATTTGCCCCATACACATTTTTTTCATGAAGTCAAAAAGACTATTTGAAAAATGCTGTGTTCATTTTTGAGCTGCGTCACCAAACTATGTGTAATGTGTGGGGGCGTCTTCTCTGCAGCTGCTGCGGTACACGCTGGATAAACAGGGCTTGGAGAATGTGCGGATCATTGCGAGTGACAACCAGTGGGAGCCCATATCTCTGTACGTGCTGCAGGACCCCGAGCTGAGCGCCGCGGTCGACGTTCTGGGGTAAGGAGAGGGCCTTGTTTCCATACACAAAGTTCAGTCAACAATATCTTTCTCATAATAAGCAATTCATCTTTGGAACAATTGAATGAAATTGAGAAGGAGGCACTCTGAAAACTGTGTTCTTTATGCAAATTGACCAACGTATTTTGACAAAAGTCTTCGTCAGGGCAGTGAGTGTCGCAGCTGACACTTTGCTGATTTTAAGGTGTCATGGGAACACCACGTGATCAAATTTACAATTTACAAATTACATAAATGAAAATAAAATAAAAATACCAGAGCAACAAAATAAGTCAGAAATTTGTGTATCAATAACCTTTGGAACACTCTTCCTAATGACATCATCGCATGTACAAACTGTAACGACAAACGGTGTTAATCGCCAGAGCGGGTTGGAGCAAATTGAACGGAAAACTGTCCATGACTTACAGTACCTATAGGGCTTCATTATCCATCTATTTACAGTCTATGCACCGCACATGGATGGATCACATTAGAACTGTTCTGTTTAGTAGTTTAAAAATAGTCCACGTTCTTTGAAATAACCGCCATTTCGAGCCGCATACTTTCCATAAGTGCAGCTCTGCGTTCTACTGGATCAGAGCCGAGACAGCGGCGCCAAAACCCACAACAGCTTCGGCAGCTTTGCGCACAGAGAACTGCTGTTTTAATCTTCCCATTCTTCTGTGCTGCGGGTTAAAGTATTTTTAAGCAAAAGACGGCTCGTTCACATGGTCAAGAGCAGCCAGTGACAAGCCGCGTCTCGCAGGTCTCCGCTAAAGTTTAAAAGTAACATGTGTGGAGCTGATCTAATACCGAGGACCAGCAGCACAAACATGTTTCATGTGGTTTGACTGGAGCCGTGTATTTGCGAGGATTCCTTTGGGCTCCGTGACACAGAGGAGCGCGACAGACTGGTATGTGTGTGTGTGTACAATACATGTATGTGTGTATATGTATGTGTGTATGTGTGTGTAAATATAAGCTCCAATGTAGTTCTGACCTGCACCAGTGTGCAACTAGCAGGGCTGGACTGGCCATCGGGCGTACCGGGCAATGCCCGAAGGGCCGATGCCCATATCTGGGCCGGTCTGTCTGTCTCATACAAAAAACATGTTTGTGAAAAGTGTAAATCCGCTGAGAAATGTTTGAGGGGGCGCGCGTGTCCGCGGGGCACCTGCTGTATGTACTCGAACGGGATTCCACCACCTCAGCGGCCGCAGTGTTCCCGCATCCAGCGGCTCTGAGCTGGACGCAGGAACCGCTCACCGGGAACCGCTCACAACACAACACGGTGAGCGCGTAGCCAAGACCATAAACGCGCACAGGACCATGCATGTCTTTACGTAATTTGTGCACCCAATAAATACACCGCAGAAAACAGTCCGCGTCTCCCCTCTCCTCTAAATTAAAGCTCCGGTACCTAAATTTTCCATTGCAATAAAAGTTCATGTTTGAGCCCAAAAGTAAAATGTTGTGAACAGATTAAACAGATTTAGAGCCAGCAAATAGCTGACAATATGCATTTCAGAAATTTGTACCAATTCTCATCCCTGTAACAAACAATAGTGTTGTCTGTGCCCACCTCCCTCACTCTGAGACATGTTTATTACTCTCTTTAATGTAGACTATTGTACTTTATTTTATTGTTGAAACTGCAGACATCCTGATCCTCTACAGTATTTGCTTCCACATACTGTATAAACCAGGGGTCGGCAACCTTTAGTGCCCCTAAAGTGGCTCCTGGAGCATTTTCAAAAATGTCTGAAAATGGAGTGTGAGGGCTCTATTTTATTTCTAGTTTCAATGTGGTTTCTGTAGGAGGAAAAACATTCTTGACGTTTTTCAATGCTGCAAAAACTTGTTTAAGTAATATTCAATTTTAGCATTTCTGTCAACGTAGTGCGTCATATCCTGTGACACGGCCCGTGCCAGGCGGCCGCTGCTGTAAACAAACCGGCGTGTGCGCATCATAGACTGTGTGTGCGTATGGATCCCAAAGATAAAGTAAGAGTCGATAAGACTGGACTAAGAATGAGAATGAACATTTGCTTTCAGTAAATGAGGAAGGACTGCTTCATGTTTGCGATGTAATGAAAAGTTTTGTTGCAACAGGAGGAACAATGAAGCTTTAAACACCGTTCACTGAAAGATTCATTCATCATAAAGTCAGAGCACCTATTTTCAGACTTCAAAAACCTTCTCAAAGACGGTGAAAGAAAAGGCCATTAAGGACATTCAGCTCTAGCATACTTCAGCCTGTGACGTGATGGATATGAACAGACAGTGATGCAGGTGAACTGAGCCAAAAAGCAGATGTATTTACTGTATTTGTACAATTGCATGAAGGCAAAAAGAAATGGAAGTTAAACTTAAAGCAGAGTTGTCACGTGGTGCGTCATTCTCTCCAGGACACGCTGTAATGAAAATACACATTTGATAATCATGAATGGTTTTTATGTGTTTGTAGCCTTTACTTTGTCATTTAGATAATAGTCTAATATAGCTAATATAGCTAATGTAGCTAATGTAGCTAAGGTAGCTAATGTAGCTAATACAGCTTCAGCCCCTGTTACCTTCATATAAGCCTTATACAACGCTGTTTTATTTTTTTTTTGTCAAATATGGCTCCATGAAACTTTTGAGTTGCCTGGGCCGCTAAAAAGGAAAAAATGCCCGGGCCGTTTTTTTGTCCCAGTCCAGCCCTGGCAACTAGCACACTAGTAACAGAGGGGAGAGATGATGCGTGTGGATGTTACGTATCAATGGAGGTGGGGAAAGTGTGTGTGTGTCTGTGCACGCGTGTGTGCGTGCATAGTGGCGCGTGCGGTGTGAGAGTCGGCCCGGAGTTTACTGATCATTGGCTCGTCACATCGTGCGAATAGGACTTAAAATAGCGTTATGAAGAGACCTCCCCTCTCCCCTTTTTCTCTTTTTTAACCGACAGCTTTGACCGGTTAACGCTGTGACGGTCAACCACCGGTTAAACGGTCACCAATTTACATCCCTAGTTCTGTTTTCAAATGTTATTGTTCTAAACTGTCACTGGACTGTGATTGTCACCAGGAGGGCTACCACACCACAAAACCATCACTCAGCACTTTTGTTAAAATGTCCCACACATTTTTTTGTGTCTTTGTCGTCCCTCTAGGGCACACTACCCAGGTACAAACACGGTGCTGGACGCTCTGAAGACCCAGAAGGCTTTGTGGTCTTCAGAAGACTACAGCACTGTTAATGACAAGGTGGGAGGAGGCTGCTGGGCGCGAATCCTCAACCAGAACTACGTCAATGGACTCATGACGGCGTGAGTGACTGCGCGAACATAAACTTTTACATAGTTTATATAAAAGTCCTATGTTGCTTGTGTCCTGTGTGTCTGTGTGTAGGTTGATTCATGTGACATAATTGCATTTCAAAGTTTAAAGGTACACTGTGGGTGGCACGATGGCTTCTCAGCAAGATGCTCCTGGGTTCTAATCCCGGTCAGAACAGGTCCTTTCTGAGGGGAGTTTGCATGTTCTCCTCGTGTCTGCGTAGGTTTCCTCCGGGTACTCCGGATTCCACTAAAAACATGTACAATAGGTCTGGGACAATTGCCCAAAAATTGTAAACCGCTTTGTGACTCTGGTCTGTGAAAGGAGGTATATAAATATAGATAAAGATTACTTACTTACTTACTAGTTTTTACTGCTATCTAGTGGAGAGATCATATAGTGGGTACTACGGAAGCCTTCGAAAGAGAATATGTCGTCTTTGACAGTGCTCCTCAACTCTCAGTCATTCTCCAGACTGCCAAGGAAAGAATACGTCAGTTTGATAAATGACCAGATCTCTCCAAACGTCTCAACCACTTGACACAATCGCGTGAACGCAACTTGTAAATAAGGCCGCGTTCTGAAGCTGTACCCACTGCACAGAGGCTCTACTGAGTTTTACCATGGAGCTATTATAATATATAGTTTTACAAACGCGGTGAGAAGAGTCTCATGGAGGATTAACGTCTGCGGGAGCTTAAAACTACGATGGTCAGAGAAGCAGGACACAGCCACGGCAACTGAAATAGTAGTCTACAACATGAACACAACTTATTCTCTTGTAAAATGCATGGACTTATTTTTTTTCGCAGTACCATTTCGTGGAATCTGATTGCCAGTTACTATGACGACCTGCCATTTGGTCGAGATGGACTGATGACCGCTGAGGAGCCCTGGAGCAATAACTATGTGGTGGAGTCTCCAATCTGGATCACAGGTCTGCTTTATGTTTTTTCTTTTTTGTGAGAAAATGTATATTATAGCTTTGCACCAATCAGAAGGCATATGTGAACAGAATCAGAATAATTTATGAATGACCACACAAGATAAACTAGGAAGAACTCTGAGGACATCTATGGCATTGCACCTGGAGATAAGATATTGTGTAATACTTATCACAGGTTAAGGTGAAAGTGAGATTTAGAGTTGGGATCATTTCATGTGGTTAAAGCTAAGCTTAACTCAGGGGAAGCTTGCTGCAGGATGAAATACTACGATTGCGCCGTAACATCACAGTGAGGAGAAGAGGGATTAGTTTATCACATCTTAAAGCTGAGGTACCTAACTTTGAAACCACAACAAAAATGAACTACGTAATAAAATCCATATTACTAGTTGCAATAGAGACTCACAAGGCTCTTTCTTAAAATTACAGATGTGTTTTTCCCAGTATAGAATAGAAAGTAGACGGCATGTTAAAACTAAGAAAGTGAAGTAAAATATTTTTTTTGCAAAATCTGAAATACTGTAACCCTACCGTACTGTAACTATACCTCCATTGTACTAAACTGAATAGTTCAACATGTTAGGTGCATTTTAGATGTTTTCCTTTTCTAATGAAGTGATGTTCTTGTCTCCTCCAGCTCACACCACACAGTTCACTCAGCCGGGATGGACGTACTTACAGACCGTGGGCCATCTAGTGCAAGGGGGAAGTTATGTCGCCCTCACTGATGGAAAAGGAAATCTCACAGTAGTTATTGAGACAATGGTATAGGAATAACTTAGCTTGTATTATTTAAAAACAGGTTTCAAAGACGTTTTACTTTTAATTTGCTTTATTGTCTTCCACAGACGCATGATCACTCGGTCTGTATCAGACCTCCGCTTCTTCCTTTTAACGTCACAGCCCAGAACGCAACCTTTCATCTCAAAGGGTCATTTGTAAGTGTTAGCAATTCTATCACCTGTTTCAATCTCTCCTAAACAAAACTGGTTTGTTTTTGTTTGGAGAGTCGGCTGTAACTTTTCCTTGAACGTGTCTTTTTTTGGCATCCAATTTCTGTTTTCTCGTAAACCACAAAGCTTAGTAACAGGTTTGATTTAGAAATTGACCCAAAATATAGAATTTTAGCAATAAACAATTATTGTGATTTAGTTGAGAAATTAATCTATACTATTAAAAATAAACTCAACACTTAAAAATTACATTTAAAAAATATTTATTATAGAGTAGCAAGTTTGTCATAGGAGCATTTAGGCAGAAGGGGTAAAGGGATGATTTGTGCCAAAAGTTTGGAAAACATTCTGTAAATCTAATTCATTCTACCAATTGATTAAAGTGATTTTTTTCATTATTGTGGAACATTGCTGCATGTGAAAGCCTGATTCTGGTAGACCTCTGAAGCTAAGCAGGGGATGACCCGATTGATATTGCAATGGGAGACCTCTGGGAACACCAGGTGCCACAGTGGGGCAGCCGTAAAGTGTCAAACTGTCGTCCTGTCCTTAGGCAAGACACTTCACCCAATGATTGGTGATTGATAGTCGGTGGTCTGAGGAGCCGATTGCATGTACTGGTTGCTGCTGTCAGTCTCCTCCAGGGCAGCTGTGGCTTTGAAAGTAGTTTATCAGCACTGCCTCTTTAGTGAATAAATAATGTTATGTGAAGCGTCCAAAATGCGCTATATAAAACCGATGGCCTATTATTGCTTAGCTTTGCACACAACTGAAGGATTCTAGCTTCACTCTTTATATTGCACTACAATTATTTAGCATGTATCACTTTGAGTCGGCTTGTTTATGAATTGTGCCATACACATAAAACTTACCTTTATTTTAACACTATTTTTAAGGCATCTATTAAGGAGCTGCAGATTTGGCGATCCCAGTTCAACTTCCAATCCAAGAAGCCTGTCTTTTTTGAGAAGCTCAGCCCCCTTACGGTAAGTTATAATCTATATATATATATGCTTCAAAATGATTGGTTTTCTGTCAACAATTCAGTTATTATTTCTAATTGTGTTGTAGCTTTTAGATGGAAGTTTTTCCCTAGAATTGCATGAAGATGAAGTTTACACCATGACGACAATGAAAACCGGCCTGAAAGGAAGCTTCCCCGATCCACCTCCATCTTCACGTTTTCCTAAAGTTTATAAAGACGATTTTAACAACAGTAAGTTCAACAATACTACAATTAGTAGAGTTTTCAATCATCACCAAACCGTTAAAATATTAATCTAATATACCTGCTCATTTTAAAATAACATCTATCACATCTTAATTGGTATTTTTCAGTTATTTCCTGTTAAAATTGATTGTATTGCAATTAGTAATCACAAGCTGATGTTAGCTCCCAGCTTCGCCCATGCTTCATCAAGCAAGCGGATCGAGATTGTCCTTTCCTAAATACAGTGTATGCATTTAAACTTTTTGAACATCAGTAAGAAACCAGAGCTCTTTATACTTATTTTGACATAATACATTCAGCATTCATTTGATCTCTTGTTATATAGATGCTTAGGGTGGAGGTGATTAAAAGGAGAGGAGCGCCTTCACTCAATCAACTTTTTTGTCCAGAATCCAAATATCTATGCATGCGAGCGATGGAACCAAACTGTTTTGAAAAAAATAAAGGGATTCTTGCTATCAGTTTATGCAACTAACTTTTTCCAACATAAAACATTTGGAATTGAATATACGTGAATTGGATCAGGCAGGGTGGGATCTATACATGGCATCAGGGGATAGTGAAGCTGAGGATAAACATTATAATAGACATTATAATTTGGATACATAAGAAAGAGGATCTATTTGGTGCTTTGGGCTGAGCGAGTGTTTTTACATTTCTAACTGAAAAGCTGATCTAAAAATGTGACAAGGCCAAATACATGCTTGTGAAAACTTGTGATAGAACCAAGGAACCATGGATTTTATTACCGTTAAGTTTTTTAAGATAAGTTAAGTACCCCAGCTTAAGGTTTAAGGGTTAGAACGTCTTCAAAAGTACAAGATTACTGTAATGGGAAATATTTACAGAAAACACATACTACTAACGAATCATTATTATTTTCTCCTCACAGAAAATCCTCCTTTCTCTGAGGCCCCAAACTTTGCTGACCAGACTGGAGTTTTTGAATACTATCAAAATGTGTCCGATCCTGGACCACATGTTTTTACTTTAAGGCAAATTCTCACTCAAATACCTATTACATGGGCTGCGGATGCGGATCAAGCCATTAGTGTCGTAGGGGATTATGAGTGGTGGGTACAAACTACTTTATTTTGTCAATCAATACCGTTAAAAAAACTCAAACATTGCTTCTTGTCTTTCTTCCAGGCAGAATCTAACAGTTTCCTGTGATGTCTTTATGGAGAAAGTGAAGACTGGGGGTGTCTTTATTGCTGCAAGGGTGGACAAAGGTGGCCAGTCCATCCGCAGTGCCAGAGGGGTCTTCTACTGGGTCTTTGCAGATGGAACATACAAAGTTACCAATGACCTTGGTAAGCATTTTCTACCACTATAACTCAAACTGCATATACGTATACATACATACATACATGCATACATAGGCTGACACACCACCCAAACTCACCCAAATGGAGATAACACTTTCTAATGCTAGTCTTTGAAACATGCTGTTATATAGTCCCCCAAGCACATTGGTCCATCAGCTTCAAGCTAGTAATACCCTATCAAGATATTATTATAATAAATCCATGACATGCTCTGACCCAACCAAATACATAAATACACCAGAGCGTTTTGACCTAGCCTTTTGTTTTGAAAAAAATAAGTAAAAAAGAAATCAATTTGACCATGACTGTTTCTATCTTAATAAAACAAGTTATCATTTGCATACTTGTAAGAATGACGCTTTGGTGATTGGCAGAGTGAGGGGTGGTCCTTTCTCTTTCACTTTTCTCGCTGAAAAAAGCTGATCTAAAGATGTGTCAGAAACTAGTGATGGAACCACATGGTATTGAGAGCGAGGGATTATGAATTGTATTATTGTTCCATTTTTCTAGTTTGACAATTAAGTATCCCAGCAGTCGCATTTATTAAGTTCTAAAGGAAGGTATGTTTTCGACTCCTAGCCGGTCGGACTGTGCTGGCTGAGGGGCAGTCTGGAACACATGCGTATCGTTGGCACACATTGACACTGACAGTCCAAGTAAGTTTGCACATTTTTACCCAGCATATTTTTTTCTGTTCATTAAGAATAATTACACATTGTTTTTTCAGGGGCAGTATGCATCTGGGTTTTTGAATGGATATCCACTGTGGAAGAATGCTGTGGTCCTCGCTCCCAAACACGGATGGGCGGCCATCGGGACGAACTCCTATGAACTAGCTCAGTTTGATAACTTTGCTGTGGAAGCAGAGTGACGTCCTCGAACAGCCTGTGCCTTAATGACTTAAGTGGCTTTTAAGAAGGATCCTGAGACTTGATTGATATTGTTCAAATATTTTTTTTTTTTATATTTTTTTTTTGAAAGGGAACATACTATGATGCACTACTAATGGAATCATTTTTTATCTTAATATTTGTAAATATTTTCTGAATGGATCCTGTGTTGATTTGTATTAAAGTAAATACAATATTTGTCTCTCTTATATCATTAATACAATTTAGAAGTAATCGTTGTTATTATATTCATTCATCATATCATTATTGTTCTTATTGTTATTATAGCTATTTTAATATTCTATTTAAATATTAAATTAATTATCACGTCTACGCGTCGCACCTCTGCTCTGTCACCATGGCAACAGGACGCTGATACGCAAACAGTTTCTTCCGTGCGTGAATACATCTAACCTAATGGAGAAAAACAAATCCTTACTCAAACGTATTTTCATCAACAGCATAGACTCCTACTCCTCTAAATGTATTGCAAAGGTAATAACACATTTAACTATTTGAAAACTCTTGGAAATGTTTGCTAGCAAAACAACATCAACAATGCTAGCGAGCTAAATCAACATGAGGTCTGCGCTTAGCTTTTGTGTTGTGTCATAGTTTCTGTCTGAATGTGTTGCTGGAGCCCACGATGAAGAGGAGGAAGAGTCACTATTTTCCACCAGTAAAGAAAAAGCCTTTGAAATCGTGGGAACTGTTTCTGAAGCTTCGGATGAGGACAGAAGTCATGTGCTGGAGCTGTACGATGTGAGTGAAGTGAAGAGATAAAAACATTTATGAATGATTTGAAAATGTGTCAAAAAGGTCTATTCCTCTCACTAAAATCTTCAAATTTTTGTTATTGGCAGCATATTTGAAGGATTATTCTGAAACTTTATTTGCTTGCCACTAAAATTAAGATTGAAATCCTTAATTTATATATTGCTTGAGTAAAAGGACAGTGGACACATGTGGTTCCATAATGCACACATGAAGATGTTCAGTGCAGTATTCAGAATAACACAGAAACAGAGACAGCGTTTTGCCCGGTTTAGTAGTCTTACGGCTTCGGGAAAGAGATAGCACATGTCATTACACTATGGTAATTACACAGATGCATGACATGTGAGGTCAGGTGGGTGTTCATCCGTGTCTGTTGTTCATTGTACAGTCTGACAGCAGCAAGAAGGTAAGACCTGCAACACTTCTCCATCAAACAACAAGGATGGATCACTCTGTCACTAATCTGGCTTTTCAAAAAGAAGAAAAACAATGTTGGTAAAGACAAAATTGCAAGCCTTCTAAATGTTTTTTTTTTGTGACACTTGAAAATGAGACAATATTTTTGCAACTACTCAAGTATTTCTGTGGGTGTAGCATAGCATGGTGATCAATGCGTCCTTTTAATTTGTTTGTGTAAGATCTCAGTTGTACAGGGATTAGTCTGAACCTTCCTTTGCTTCGTCCTTTTATGTTTTTGTTTTATTTCATGTTTTTCTTATTTTGCCTCATTTCAGCAGCGGAACAAGGAGGAGCTTCTTCCCAAACTGCTGGCCTGTGATGTTATTGTGTATAACATTACAGAGCATCAGGAACAGGTGGATGAAGCTTTGTGGGCACTGACAAGTAGGAACATGGTTTTGTCACTTTTCTCTGGAGTAAACAACTTTCCTGAAGCCCCTTAATTGTCTATTCTCTTTTTTATATCAAGTGATTCACAATGCGATGGGCAATTTCACTGGGCAAAAGATGTTCATCCTCGTGTCCACGGTCATGACCTGGGCGTGCAGAAAACCCATTGATCCAGTGAGTTCAATCTGATTTTTTAAATAAGAGAGTTCATGATATTGGGTTAGGATTGGGGTTAGTTTGAAGATGAAATGACTTTTGCTTTAATAACATATTTTTTATTTATTCAAAACATGCACAAGATATGCAAATAATTATTCAGATAACATATAAGACAAAAATACATAAAATAAAACCTGTAAATGGTTTGAAAAGGGATTGGATGAAGCAAAAAAGCGTATATTAATCCAATCAACTCTCAGCTATTCAGACACACTACAATACAATACAATGGATAGAAGCAATATTCTACACCAGGGGTCTCCAGCATTTTTCAATCAGAGAGATACTTTTGTACAAAAGAAGAGGCAGAGAGCCCCTCCTGTTTGAAGTCGTTGTAAAAATGATCAAAATAAATATGACAACACATGGAGAACACATGTAAAATATACCATAATATAGTTTAACCCAATATACTTATATATAGATTGGTAATGACTCAAAATGTATTCATTCAAGATAATTTGTAAAATTCTAAAGGTTGGAGACCCCTGCTCTACACACACACACGCACACACACACACACACACACACACACACACATACACACACACACACACATTGATGACATGAGACAAGACAAAGACACAGGCCCAGAACAAAAAAAACTCACAAGATACTACATAATTACAGGAGGATGAGGAGCGGCCATTCACTGATGAAGATTTCCGGCGGCGTAGACCACATCCCAATTTCAAAGCTCACAATGATCTGGAGAAGAAGGTGGTGAAACTGGGAAAAACGGTCAGTATGTGAGAAAGTGGACAAAGTGGAAGAACTTCTAAGTGCCTTCAGTAACTGGCTGATTAACTGATTATCTGTGTCTTTTCAGAATAAGAGCATGTTCTCCACGTGTGTCCTAGTGTCAGGGATGCAGTATGGAATGGGAGAGCAGATCTTTCATTACTTTTTCAAGGTAAGGCACATATCCAACTCTAATTACTTGCATTAAGAATACTAATAATGTGTTTCTTGGTTTTTAATGCAGAAGTAAATTAAAGCGTTACACTCGAAAGAGGCAGATCAGGTTCATACACTGTAGATAAGCTAAGCCACTATATCTCACTTTATTCAGCACTTATGGACATTGGTCATCCGCCCCTTATGGACCAGTACCAAATGTGTATTCTATTTGTTTTTTTCACATTTATGTGTTTAAACTGTCTGATCCCTTATCTGTGTTGGCAAATTCAACACTTGTGTAAAGTCCTCCAAGATAACCATTGTTGTGATTTAGGGCAATACAAGAATACATTGAATTTAATTTAATAGCTCAATGAAGCCCAATAGGAAGAGCTCATGGACAGAGTTTTGGTCGTACTCGCCCTGGGTTCAATAAACTTACATTGAAAAGAAATCCCCTCCATCTCAGTAACCGATTGTGTCACATTCACCATTTTGGGCTTAAACAAATCTGAGGTTTGGCGCTCTCTGGTGTTCATTTTATAAGAAAACATGGAGCCTTGTGAGTCACGATTTGACACTGGTCCTTGCATTTTCACTTTTCTATCTGAAAAATCTCATCTAGAGATTTGATAAAGGCCAGCAATACAATCTGGCCTTTGAATTCTATCACTAGTTTTTACATAAAGCGAGTGATAGAAAAAAAATTGAGAACAAGGAATTGGATAAATTGATTTAATTACATCGGCCCTGTTTTGTTTGAATTTTGACGTGTATTTATTCCTGCGTCATACATTCATGTATTTATTTTGGTATTTACTATTTGCTCTTTTTGTAGACATCATGGGAAGGACAGGCTCCCCAGATTCCTATTTTTGGAGATGGCACCAACATTGTTCCCACTATTCACATCAATGACCTTGCCATGTAAGACACACTGTACACTAACAACGTTGCATATCTCATCATACAGCTCTTCATAATTAACATATTCAAATGTTCCCGCTAGCGTAATACAGAGTGTGATTGAACAGCGCCCGAGGTCGTACTATCTGCTGGCCGTCGACAATTCCCACAACACTCTGGAGGAAATTGTACAGGTTAGCAGAAATCCTAGAAATACAGAGACTACTAGAACTCCCAGAGCAGTCATTTTGATTGCTCCCATTCAAGTCAATTGAATTCTAGATTAACTCTAGTGTCAAAACTGGTGAAAAAAAAGTTTGGTGAAAGGCTAACAAATGCTAACTGCAGCAAGTAAACAGCGTGTTGCTATGGTAACCAGCACTTGCTCTTCTCTGATGGAATACCTGGCTGAACCAGAGCCGGTCCAGAATCAGCACCTTAAGGGTAAAGGGCTTTTTGTTCACATTTCAAAAATAGATAATTTCATCAAGAAAGTTTGGAAAAAGCTGAGTAATTATGCTTCAAAAAGTAAATTTCTAGTGGAACTATTTCAACCCAGAATTTGGTGGATCTATATATACAAATATACTGTACTCTTTCCTTATAGGCAATTTCAAATGCACTCGGACCAGGGACTACCAAGAAAGTTCCACTGACGGAGGCCTATCTTATTCGAGAACTCACTGTATGTAAATGTAAGTTTGATTTAAATGTGTGAGGATTATGACTGGGTGTTTGCAACGTTTTTCAGACAATGCACATTGACTGCATGACGGTGAATTTGAGAATGGAGTCGGCGCACTTGGCAGAACAGCTGTCTATCCCTTGGCAGTGTGAGAAAGGGCTGGTGGAAAACATGGCTCAGGTGGTAGATCAGTACAGGCAAAACAGAGGACTTCAGGTCAGCAAACACTTGAACGTAAGCGGTGGACGATAACTATAACTGTAACTGTCACCGTTTCTCCTCAGCCCCTCCGCATTTGTGTTATGGGGCCCCCTGCTGTTGGAAAGAGCACTGTGTCCAAAATCATCTGCGACCTCTACAAACTGCACCATGTCCAACTGAAGCCAACGATTACAGAAACTATTGCCCAACTGGTGAGTGCCAAAGCAGGAATATCAATGTATGTCGACAAAAAATAATTAAATTATCCTCTTTTGTTCCTGGGATGAAAATTACTGTTTTTTTTTTTACAATCTCAGACAGAGCTAGTCTCTCAATTATGATTTTAAAGATGAGGTTCTCTTTTTAGCTTCATCTGTTTTCCAATAGGATGACGACAGCATCTTTTCAACTTATTTGTTTTACACTTTCCTTCTGTTGTTATGAATTTAAAAGGCCAATATGTATTTTTTTTTATGAGATCTACAACTTTTCTGTGTCACCAGGCAACAGGTCGACATGTACAGTACATATCACATTTGACCTTTTTCTTAACCACAGTTCTTAAAAATGCAATGGACATGATGTATATGCTATACTGTATATGTTTGATTGTCCAATCAGAGAACAGAATGAGGCCCTCACTTGGGTTGCCAGTTTGCTCGAGCCATGACCTACAAAAGTGATTAAAAGTAAAAGCATCCTAAATGAGGGTTTTTTAAGCTTGAACATTTTTTAGTTAGGGTAGTTTTTAATCGCTGTGGCTAGTCAATTTGAGCCATGGATAGCACAATGGTTATATGAAAGTGGACACAAAAACATGTAGTTAAAACACACAGTTTGCACTGTTTCTAGCTCAACTCATTTAGGGATCAGTGAGAAGGAGCTACATGAGTCACAGGAAGATTCTGGCAACAGACATGTGATTGTTATTGTAATGACTTTATTAGACCACTAAAAAAGCATATTACATACTGTCCCTTTAAAAGAAAAGAAAAGTTACCTCAGCTTTAACTAGGGCTGCTGTATTTTTGGAAATTGCAAATGTATTGTACACCATTTGCATACACCAAAGGCTGAAATTGTTGGATGTAAAGCAAGTTATTGGCTTATGTGTCTTTTACCAATAATAATGATTGTTATAAAGGAAGTGATGTATGTTGAATTTACAGACTGAAGCAGTGCAAAAAGATGCTCAGGTGGAAAGTGAGCGCGCAGAAGAGTCTCAAGAGCTGCTCATCAACCTGACCGAAAGTATGGAGCAGAACAAAGGTAAACTGCAGTATAGTTTAGATAACGGAAATCATGAATGGCATTAAATATTGTATTACATGTGTGAAACTATTATTTCATTAGGTCTTATGGAAGAGCAGCTGCTGTTGAAAGTGGTGAAGGACAAACTGATGACAAAGCCCTGTCTGAACCAAGGCTTTGTGTTGGATGGATTCCCAAAAACGTACGACCAAGCTAAAGATCTCTACGAAGGTAATGCTGCTGGAATGATTAGGTATAGGTTATTTTATTATTATCATGAAAAAATGCATAGTTGTATGAGTTACACACATTGCACATAATTCTTGGGTTTCACATGACGTCAGGGCAGTGGCGCGAATAACAAACGTAGGACAGGACGTGGCGTATCCTGGCGGCTCAGTCTGCCGGGTTTATACACAGAGATATAGTAGAAGAAGAAGCACTGTCAAAATGCCATCATTTTGTGCGGTGTACGCTTGTAGCAACCGCGCAAACAGAGAGAAAGACAAGAGTTTCATCCGTGTTCCAACTGTGGGCTCATATAAAGGAGGACACTTTGAAAAAATCACTCGAATGAGGCGGGCGCGGTGGATCAAGGCTTTCCCAGATAAGCGCCCCCTGCAGGCCACTTGAATGAAACACAGCAATTTCTTCTGTTTTTCTTTCCAAAAGTGCCCGAAGTCAAGACTCTTTTGAGAAATATTTTTTAGTACTCCCTTAGAATGGAGTGTGCTCCCGATTAAGACTGTTACAACAACCGTACACCGTACAGGATGAGAGCCTTTTGACTCCAAAACAGACAAGACTTACATGGTTTTCAATGGGAGCAAAACTGAGTTGTCTCACCTCTGCTCATTCGCCTCCTACTGGCCAGTTTAATGAAACCCAAGAATTGTTTTCATTTCTTCAAACATTTCCATTATCAGAAAGGAGCAGATAGAAGATCGTAATCCGCGTATTTTTCTGCCTCCTCTTTTACAAAAAAGATTTAAATGGTTTTGTTGCTTATCCTTCTGCCTCCGTCATCAGCACATATACAGTAGTATACATTTCAATTCATTTCAATTCAGTTTGAAATATTCATGTATCGCCCTAAATCACAACAGTAGTTATCTCAGAGTTTACAAAATCGTTGAGTTTTCCAACATAGATCAGAGAATAAAATCGAGTAGAGAACTCGTACGTATTTGTCCCTAGGGGGGAGTTGACCAATGTCCATAAGTGTCAATTGTTTCCTCTTTTAAGTCTGTAAAAGTCTTTCTCTTGAGAATTCCACAATTTTACTCCAGCCAGAGACAAACTCATCTGTTTTAAAGTTGTTTGTGCCATTTGGTGTTTGAAATCATATCTCTTCTGTGATCTAGATTGATCGAATGCTGTTAATTCATAAAGATTACAAGCATATAAAGATATGTTTCCTTTAGTTGAAGATGGAGAAGAAGAGGAAGAAGAAATGGCCTCGAACAAGTTACTGCCAGGTCTTATTTACACAAAAGGTTTCATTTATTGTACCATTCATTCGTTTGGATTTTTATGTGATAGTGTTTTTTGCAGAGGTGGTGTTTTGGCTGGAGGGCTCCGATTCTCAGTTGAAAGAGCGGGTGATGAACCTGCCCGAGTCGGAGGTGGTGCAGCACAACTATGACTCCGAGCACTTCCTGGAGCGCCTGGGCCGATACAGACTGCGTGACAGCAAAGACACCACTGTGGCCGACTTTTACGACCAGTTTAACGTCACCACGGTCGCCCTCGGTAACTCGCAATCAGCATCTACTGTATTTTGTCCTCATAGTTTTTAGATTATTTACAGATGAAGCTCTGTAAGTTACAGAAGAAAATTGACTTTTTGTTAGATTTGAGCGCAGCATTTATGAACAGACGCAGGTGTGTACGCTCAGGTCTGGGCCGATTGGATCTTGCGTATTTGAAATCTACACCCAAAATGTCCATCCACCCTTTTCTGCGAAATTATGTCACTCATTTTTTATATTCAATTATGAGGCTTCAATTATATTTTTGGCCCAGATTGAATCCAAACCTCCTGGAAAATAATATCAAAACTCTACATGTAAACAAAACTTTTATACTTTTGGCCCCTACCAGCTCTTTTGTTTTTAAACTTGGCCCTGACATAGATGAGTTTGAATTAAAGTGAGTAACTTTAGTTTGAATATCAGGAGGTGGAAAATCATCTGCATGATTCTGTGGTAAATAGAACGTTAAGTAAGTTCCGGATGAAGAACCAACACAACCAGCAGGAGGTCGCCTTCCACCTCCTGCTGGTTGAAGCCTTTGAGAATATGAAGGACGGGAAACACGATTAATAGATGACATTGATCATTTAACCCTTATCTTATGGACCAATGACTCTCTTGGTGTTTTATTGTTGTGTTATGTGTCATAAGTTCTCAATTTTCTATTCTGCTGTGAACAAATATCGAGTTCTGTGAGGACCTGATGTTGCATTTCCTCATGATAGAAACGGCTCTACAGGACATTGACAGCGAGAAGAACAGATCATAGAAAATATACATGCAACGCAGAGAAAACATGAAACCCAGAGAAGGATGTTGCATTGTTCATAAAAGCTGCAAAAAAGTCTTTCTAAACTGTTAACATTATTTTGACCAATAGGTGATATTGGATACACATGAGTATACATATGCACATCGCTGAGTGTCATATCTCACGTCACCTAATGTGATGCATAGTTGTTAATACTAAAGAAAGTGTATTTTACTAAAATCGTAAATGTTATTGCTGAAAGGAAGAAACAGGGCATTGTTCATGTTTTCCGGCATATTCTGTCCATCAGACATGGCCAACGACAATGACCCAAACTGCCTCAGTCTCCTGCAGAAAATCACAGAGACTCTGGGGACTCCGCGAAACTACGGCCGCAGCATCGAAGAGGTGGAGGAGCAGGAGCGGAAAGAGCTGCAGGAGAAGCGGAGGAAGGAGGCCCAGAGGAAGGCTGAAGAGGAGGAGAGAGAGGCGGAGGAGGCCAGACACAGAGCAGCACACTGGGAACAATGGGTATAACATGACTTTAAAGTGCAGTTTAGGACTCTCATGCTCCTAGATATCGTGTAGATCTGTGTTCATGGGTCAACAGATTATTTCCCATACAGAGACACAATATTGTGTTTTAATGTCCCCCTGATAACGGCCCCAACATCTCATCATTCTGAAAACCATGGCTTTTATAGTGTTCAATTTGCAAATGGGGATTTTATATATAGAACTTTATTTATTTTTTATTTTTTTGGTAGGGACAAGTACCTACCCTAACCCTAAACATGTGAAACACTGCATAATTTATAGCCAAGGCAGATTTGCAATACATCAAGACAACTCAAACTGTCAATTTTTTTCACATGCATTTACTTTACTAATTTTGGCCTCTCTTTAGATCTGCTTTTTCAGAAAAAACCACTCTCACTCAGCTAATCAGCTCTCAGCTGTAAATAGTGGGCTCTTTATAATGGATACAAAAGATAACATGTTTTTTATTAAGATGGAGACAGCATGGTGTAGTCTGATTCCTTCACATTTTACTTTTACTGGACACTTGCTGTTGGGACAATATTATTTATGAAAAATGGTTTGGTACCCCAGGTTTTATCTTTACTATTCAAATAAAAATTCTTCTGGCAATTTTGTCTATAGCATTCAATTTCTCCATTGTGGGGTCAATAACATTTCTCTTATCTTACTACAGATCTTTTGAATATATATAAGTTGATAAACCTGAATTTGCTCAGATTTATGTTTTCTATGTATTTGTAATGAATGTTCTCTCCTTGTGTCCTCTCTCAGTCCAGGTCTTTGGAGGAGCTGCAGCAGCAGGAGGAGGAGCTGTTGGAGGCCCAGACGTCTCAGATGAGGAGTTACCTGATGGAACACGTGATGCCCACTCTGTCCCAGGGGATTCTGGCCTGCTGCTCTGCTCAGCCCGACGACCCCTTGGACTTTCTGGTAAAATCAAACTTATTTAGTGGAAAATGTGGATTAAGTAGAAATATATTGAACTCCAGGGTTTTTAATTTGACACCTGACTTTCCAAACAGAAAAATAAATAACCATGTCCTTGCTCTCTATCACATACATGTAATTTTGGCCTTTTTCATTTGTTCTGAAAAGTAAAAAAGAGAGGACCACATCACTCAGCTAATCAGTTTTCAACCCAAAGTGTCAAATAGTGACTCACAAGGCTAAATATGTGTGTTCTCAACTGATAATGTCAAAATTACAAAGGACATCAAATGTATTTTAATCAAAGAACACATTTTATTACAGCCACTGTCTAGAAAGAGTAGCGTCATCCTGGAAAAATGAATTGAAAGAATTTTTAGAACTCATAATTTATCACAATAATTGTCCTTTACAGCTCTATTTCAAGGTATTTAGGGAGATTAGCCAGGTTTAGTACCACCACTCTAAAAAAAAATGTTTTCCACATGGCCTCTCTTTTTCACTTTTTTGTCTGGAAAAAGTTGATCTAAAGATGTGACAGATGCCAAAAATACATGTATGTGAAAAGTAGAGATAGAAACAGACTGTTTTTAGAGCGATTTCCTTTTTGTGGTGTAGAAGTTAGGTACCCCAGCTTTACAATAATTAGCAAAAAACAGAGGCAGTAGTACACACAATATGTTCATCTCATGTAACGGTCTAACATTAAATCTTCTGTGTTTCCAGGCGGAGTATCTGATTAAAAACAATCCTTCAAACTGGACAAAATTATAACAAAAACAAGTGCTGCTGTATTATAATGCCATTTTTACCAAAAATAATAAAAAAACATACTATATATTTGGCTAACACCTCTTTGAGACCTTCTTAGCTCCTTCCCAGCTCCTGTTGGACTCCCGTGTGCTGGCCGTGACTTAAAAGCGGCCCTAAAACACAACATGAAACCACAGACCGAGCCAAGAGCTAATTTGTTTGTTAATTCGCGTAATGAACTTGATAAACTCCAAAGTAGACGTGCACGGGTCATAATTGCTTGGATTTTGGCTTCCGATATCCAGTAAGGACGAATCTTACAAATGGTGCCTAATTTGTGCCCCTCTCATGCCGCCACTTTCCTCGCCAAAGTAAACATAATTGGCCATCTACGTTTCTAATCGCCGCGCTGGGAAATTAGCCCGCTTTGTTTTGGGGGACGCATTGTGACGGCAAACGCCGCAAAGTCAATTTAAAAAGATCCGGTACAAACACAGCGCGAAGCTTTTAAGACACACTCAGGCGCTAATGTAATTATTATGGCCGCATACATGTGACAAAGAAATACTTTTGTTTGGTTTTAATATTGTCCAAATAAACCGTGTCTCTAGAACGACTGCAGTGGCTGGTTCACGTCTCAGTTTGGGGAGAGAGGGGGTTAGTTGTTGACTTCAGACCGTGGATGCTTCAGTAGCAGTTAAAGAATGAACAAACATGAACAAATAATGTAACAACAATGTTATACACGTGTGAAGGGACATAAGGTGTGGCCATACTTGCATGTGAACCTCTGAAGCTAAGCAGGACAGGGCCTGGTTAGTACTGTGATGGGAGACGTCTGGTAATGTGCCGAACTTTCATTGTGTCCTTAGGTAAGACACTTCACCCACATTGCCTAGAATGAGTCTGGTGTGTGTGTGTGTGTGTGTGTGAGAGAGATTGGTGGTAGTCAGAGGGGCTGATGGCACATGGAGCTGTGGAGCTGCTGCTGAAAAAGTCCTGTCTCCCATGGAGTGAAGCCGTGTGATTGGCTGATTGAGACGGTAGCTGTTTGTGGACTGGAGGGATCTTATGTGGACTGTAGGTCTTTCAGGTATCCCAGAGCATTACTGTGAATGCTTTGGTGAGTGAGGAGGCAGATATATAAATTCAATACAGATTTTTATGGGGTTCCTGTGAAGCTCACGAAGGACGGGGATTATGTGTTCGAACTTGCGTCTCCTTGGCAAGACCCTCGAAGCACTGTTCTGAATAGGCTTCTTCCAGGGATCCCGGGGAGGAGGGCGTTACAAAAGTCCAGCCCGGACGAAACAGGCTGGACCAGCTTCTCAGCAGCACAAAGAGGAAGAGAGGGACGGAGTTTGGCAATGTTTCTCAAAAGAAAGTGGGCTGTTTTGGAGAGATGTTGGATGTGTGAATGAAAAGTGAGGTGCGTGTCAAAAACCTGACACAATCGTTGGTAACACAGAAGGAAGAGGTGATGGTATAGCCAGAGAAACAAATGTATAATATACAGACAGGGAATGGACTTGATGGGGAGTGCAAATTTGGACTTCTTTTATTAAACTCATCTAGTTCTGTAACTGTTTGTGGCACACTCAAATATTTACACATTCACCATTCTGGCATTCTTTATGATCCTGTTTTATTTTGTTTTTGTAAATCCAGTAAAAAATCATGAGGATTGACCAATCGAATGCCTTCATTTGCTGTGGAAACTCCAGCTTGCCTTTATGTCGGAATAGATGCCCATATAAGGAAGTTGGCTCCAGCTTATTGTTCATATTAGCTTCTTACGCATTCAGCAAACTCTACGGTGACGTCAGCACTTGATAAGTCCACTCCTATTATACAGACTGATAAATATTTATGACAAGGGTTCAATTTTCAATTTCAATTCATTCACCAACAGTATCACAACATTTCTTAGGACTTTACATAACCATTGAATTCTCCAACACAGATGAGAGAATCAAACAGTTAAAACACAAGAAATGCAATGATAGAAAACGGTTATTGGTCCTTAAGGGGCAGATGACCAATGTCCATAAATGTTGATAAAGGTCGTTAAATGTTGAGCGTCCTGGATCATCACCACTGCCCTTTTGTTAGACCCACCTGCATCGGCAAAGAAAAACTCTAAAACAAGTCGGAAAATATGAGAAACTTTGGGGAGGCCCACATTGAGAGAGGGATCCGCTCTCACGACGGGTTACGGATCCAGGTCTCGGGCTTCCAAATGAGAACCAAGGCCAGGCGTTTTCAGACATGACCCAAAATAAGGACAGAGCAGCTTGTAACAATAAAAGTTACCATAATTAGAAAATTCAAAACTTACACATAGATATCAAAACTAAAAGATATCAGCTTTAAAAAAATAAATACAATCTTACTTGACAGAATGAAAAAGCAGCATCTTTTGATATGATTGGGCATACATATAAAAACGTGTCCTTCTCCAAATGAAAAAGTCAGGTGGCGTGACACGTTCCTACCACTGAGTGTCAGTGTTGTATAGTCTATGAGTGAGTCTCCTCCATGCAAACGTAATGACTATAGAAGCACATGTCTGAGCGAGGCTTTGATCAAACGCTTTTGGCTTCGTCTTCTTGAGAGTTTCATTCACTCAGTTTAGCTTCACAGCGTTGGACTCACTGCCGTTCCACTATTGCACCATGAAGACTGCTAATAAGTGCATAAACGGGGATTTTGTCTGTCTGCCCAAAGATCTGAAACTTTGGATTTGAGTGATCCATATAAAGTGGAGATAACTCGAGCTTTTAAAATAGTTCGTTTCCCTGATATTCCCTGAGATTACATTTAAGATAATAACAAAAGCAAAATTAAAGCCGCAAGCGGCGATGAAAGGCCTCGCCCCTCTTGCGACCGCCTCCTGGGCGCCAGTCCCACAAGCGTCACACCGAGGAATTGGCAGCCCGATCTGACCAGGATTACGTATATAAAAGCTCATTTATATGATAAAGTGCGTCCCTAGTGGTCACCTCCGGGACATGCACCCTCTACGTAGAGTAGTATTTTGCTCGTACAGATGTAAAGATTTGATTTTGCAACTTTGGTGAAGATCGGAAAAGTTTAGGTCAGAAGCCTTACATAGGTGGCGCTGTAGAGTCATATTAGGTGTGTGTTTTCACACCATTACTCTCAGGCCATTACCAACTGTTAGCGATGTGAGTTTCAGCTCTGTAGGTCTGAGCCTGTGGTCAGGAGAGCATCAAACATGGAGAAATTCCCCACTACCTCGCATGAAAACGATAACAAAATTCTAACTTTTATGCGATGATTGCATAACTTCAACCCGTCCAGATGGAGAAATGACATGGTAGAAGTCTGTGCGATGAAAATCCAGGGACTAGTACGAAGCCAAAAATGCGACACCTTGAACTGCCTGTAGGTGGCGCTGTTGCACTCACAGTTGTGTGTTGTATATCGTTGTGTTCAGGGTCATACGCTGTATTTCTGAATCCATTTTTAGCCTCATCGGACAAACATTTTGCCCCAAAAAGCTCATCTATTCACTTTACGGCGCCCCCAGTGGTCAGGTGTGGGACGTACAACTTTTGCGTAATGTAATGTTTTGCTCGTCTCGGTCCAGAGAATACACTCAGCGATTTTCGGGCCGATCCGAGCACTAGTGCCCTATTACTTTCCGACAGGTGGCGCTAAAGAGCTCAAATTGGGCGAATGATTTTAGTGTCATTGCGTTCAGGCCATAACCTAATATTACTGATGTGAGTCTCAGCTCTGTAGGTCTGAGCCTGTGGCCCTCAGGGCTCAGCGAAAATGGCCAAAACGAAGGCCTTATTCGCCATGGCGAGGGACAAAAACGGTGAAGATTTTCTAACTTTTTTTCGATGATTATATAACTTCAATCCGTCCAGATTGGGAAATGACGTGGTAGAACTGTGTGTGATGAAAAACCAGGGACTAGTTCGAATTTCTAAATGAAAAGTCAAATTAGTGGCGAAACTTTGGCCCATCATGGCCGACTTCCTGTTGGTCCCAGACATGTGCTTAGAACGGCTTTTATGCTCGTCTCATAGAGATCTATCACTCATCCGAATTTCGTATACCTACTCAAAAATTTGAAAAAAAATCCCCAGAGGGTCCAAAAAAATGAAATTTCTAGGGGGCGTTATAGAGTCGGCGAGCGTCGGACAATCTGGAAACGTTCATTTTATCAAATTTTTCGCCGAACCGGTCGTTTTAGACCCCCCATGTGCAGACTTTCGTGCATGTCTTCAGGGTCAAAAATCGAATTGAAGTTGCGGAAAAAGAAAAAGAATAATAATATGAAACCGGTGAATAACAATAGGCCTCCCCAATACTTCGTATTGGCTCGGCCTAAATATTAGCCTGAATCCTGGATCTACAGACTGTTTGTCCGTGGGAGCGGATTGAGAGAGGCTCATTGTGGGCCTTCCGAGGTTTCTTACTTTTTGTCCCCCTGAGTTTTTGTTGTTGTAATTTGTCGATGCAGGAGAGTCTAAGGACAGTGAGTATCCGGGACATTTGATGACATTCATGGAAATTTGAATTAACATTTCTGGACATTGGTCATCCTGCTCACTTTGCACTAATGTGTGTATTATTATTGCTATTGTTTGAACAGTTTGATTCTCTGATCTGTTGTTGGTGAATCTACAGCTATCTAAAGAGCTCTTAGAGGACAAAGATGTAGTTCCTTATCATCAAAGTGCTTATACAATCTTTGATATTTCTTCACAGCTTTTCTGGCCATTGAATTGAAATGTGTATTTACCATCAGTGTGATACAGAACACATCCCTTCTCAGTTTGTCTTAATTTTTTCATCCAATCACAGTCTGACATGTGTCACAGTGACGCAAATCCAAAAACTCTGCAACCATTGACCCGGGCCATTTTCCAATGAATGGATTTTAAAAGTTGAGCAACTTTCCTCATGAAGCGGCAAGAAAACGTGAAGGACCATGGTAAGGACTCATTTGCAATTCTAGGAAAATTCAATATTTTTCAACCTTGGCCAAAATGCATTTTGCAGTGTTTTTGTGAATGTTGCAAAAATGTCTTTATTATACGTGATAGGAGACAACAATGGTTATGTTCTTGAAAGACAAAATGCAACATTTTCAGAATATACTTGATAAGATATATAAAAGATACAAACTACTTTAAAATTTGGAACCGAACATTTGATCACTGTGAACATGGGCTCAGGACCGGATTTGGTTATTCAGAGGTCCTGTCTCTGCTCCCGGGCCACAAGTTGAATAGACCTACATTATTATACTGCAAAAAATGATAAAATAGGAGGTAATTATTGCTTTAATCAAGTTTTGTCTTAATTTGAGTGTCTTAAAACAAGATTTGCCAATGGGACAAAGCCATTAAGTCTTATTTAAAGAACGTTGCAATATTTTCTGATTCCATGGGAGACTCAGACATTTCTTGTCTATTTTTCAAACACAATAATTGACACTGATTTCTTGTCAAAATGTCCTCAAATTAAGATACATTTTGACACATTTGATCACTTTTGGACTTATTTTTCATCACCTTTTGCCGTCTCTGAATCCAATGCCTATACACACACAAGGCCTTCACCTAAACAAATCAAAACTCAGTCGTCCCTATCGCCTCAGTCCCCTCACACTCCTGTAATATAGTGCTTTCACCGTCCATGAGCTCATGTGTGATCTCCAGCACATCACACAGCATCAGCCTGCGTAAGCCCCACGTGTCTGCGTTCAATCCACTCGGACTCATGCTGGTCACTGTTCCCCAAAACCCCATAATCCCACGGGAGCTCAAATCAGGCCGGGACATGCGCGCTCACACGGCCAAAGCCACACCTGCTTTGCAAAACTTACTGTATCAAGCCCAGACATTTAGACAGATCATGACAGAACCCAAAGAGCTTTCTGTCGTATGGGGAGAAGGCCTGCACATCACTCTATTCCACCCCAAAAAAATCCTCGCAACCAAAAGACCGAGAGTGAAATGTGTTTTGTTGCTTAGGAACAGTTTGCCTTGCAACTCTGCGGGGGGTCTCCTTCTGAATATCATTATGTCCCCTCAATTGGGGAGGACGGCACATTTTTCTTTTCCGCCAATATTTATCTTGGGCTTCGGGAGCTCTCTCCGCAGGACGGCGAAAACGTTTTCATTGATTAAAGGCGAGTGGAGCCGCGGAAAAAGCCGCCAGACGTCGCACCTCTTTTAATGTAAACGTATCAAAATGGCTGCAAAATACTGTGGCAGGTGACAAGGTGAGGAGCGGCGAGATTTCTTTAGGTTCTTTGAGAGGAGGTAAGTGGACTATACTGTTATCCCAATTCAAGAATTCAATGTTGATATATAGTAGTGGGCTGGCATTGGGATTCAAACAGAACATTGAAAACATACAATAATGTAACTTGCTGAAATGTAAGCGAGTAGATATTGTAGATATTTTGTCTTGGTTCCAAATAGAAAGTTAATCCATCCTAGAGATGATAGAGATGCTCACCATCATCACAGATAAGAGGAAGCACAATAATATATGTGCCTGAATTTAGAACTATTTTACAATCTATGTGTATCTCAATGCGAGGTTTTGCTTTGGAACAGGAGAACAGAGGATTTGAAAACTTTCAAACCTTATCAAATTAACAAAAAATGTTGTAGTGTTTTTTTATTTTGTTTGACATGAACTAATCTAATCTAATCTCATGAAATTCTATATTACACTAAATCTTACATGCAAAACAGTTGAGTTTAGCCTAGAAAACTAGAGATAACAAGCATGAGTCAGGTGTGTGGTGATGGAAGCTGGCTCAGAGGAAGAAAAGGTGATTTTCAGCGCATTAAAGACATTGTAGCCACATCATTTTTGGCAAAAATGTCACATAGTAGAGCTTTAAACTATACACTGTAAATTGTAGGACATTTTTTTAAAAGAAAGAGATTCGGAAAAGTAAAAGAAAAAAATCAGACCGCAATATTGTGTTTTTATCTTATCAGTGGACATGCTACCGTTTGCCAATACTTGACGCTTTGAGCTGAGAGCTGATTGGCCACTGGAGTGAAGGTGGTCCTCTCTTTGGATCAGATTTTTCTGAAAAGTGTCAAAAGTGTTGGGGCGACAGGTCGTGGATTCGTTTCCCACCTCGACACCTTCTCCACCGACTCCCACTGATGTCTGCTGTCGTTGTGTCCTTGGGCAAGGTTTCCTCCGGGTACTCCGGTTTCCCCTACCACTAAAAATATGTCCAATAGTTCTGGCATGCGCCTCCTGTACTGGCGATCCCGCTCCCATCACTGTGTGGAGTGAGAGACAAATGCCCATAATTAACAATTGTAAACCGCTTTGAGACTCAGATCTGTAGTGAAAAGGCGGTATATAAATAAAAACTTACTTACTTACTTAACCCCACTTTGCCTGAAGCCCCCGCTGGAAGATGTCAGCTCCTGTGGACTCACCACCTGCAGGAGGATCAGTGAGGGGCTGGTGCTCTGTGTACTGGGTGCAGCTCTGACTGCTACCTTCCCGACCCAGAAATGGATTAAGGGGAAGAAAATGGATGGATGGATGGTGTCAAAGACGTGACAGAGGCCGAAAAATACATGCATGTAAAAACTTGTGATACACTGTTTGTAGTGTAATAGGAAGTTTGTGACTATGTCTAAGTTTGAACCCAGTGGGGGCGGGTCCGGGCTCAAAAGTGGCCAAAATGACGTGCGCTGACATGCTGCAATACCACCCCGGGCCGATGGGGGTGGACCCAGAAGAAGAATTAGACAATGCTAACATATAGCATTGGCAGACCTCTCAAAAACGTCTTTACAGGATGGTCCAAAAGTTGGCTCTCGGCCCAAAGCTCCGTTCCACATGTGTGTCAATGCTGAGGGGGGTGGATTTTTTTGGTCCACTCTAGTTTACTTGCTGTGAATTTTTGAAGTCTCTCGTTCAAACGAATGGAGCTGCGCCGGCTGACACGTGCGCAGATACGTTTTTTCACAATTTTCTTGTGGGCGGGACCACTCGCGGCCATTTTGGATAGCTCCAGTAGAGCAAATTTTTTGGCCCATTTGTTTGAATGGCGGCGATAGGTGTGACTACGTCCGTTAATATTTACAGTCTAAGTTTGAACCCCAGCTTTAAATGGCTCTGTGACAATGCCTGCCACTAAAAACAACACATTTATACAATTCTCAGGGTTGTCATACACAAGCTCACTTTACAGAGAGTTGTTCTGAAGTGTTTCTAGTCATCGTAATAGCCTTGTCTCCTCTCCCCTCTTCTCTTTACATTGTCTACCACTTCCTGTGGAGTGTCAGCAGCCACTTCCTCTGGCACAAACACGTTCAAACCCCGAGCAGACACCTTCCCTTTCTTCTGCAGCCAACTCCACATCCCCGCGAGTCACTCCTCTACCTGCATGTGAAGCCCTAACTCCAACAAGCACCACACCACCACCACTTCCACCGCCACAGTCTGCGCAAACCTGGCATTTCTACAAGAGCCCTGCAGACACCAGTCCTCTCTTCGCTTCTTATTCCCGCTGTAATGAATGGGCGCGCGTCATTCCAACAAGCAGGGAGGAAGAGGAGCGCCCGGCCTTCCTCCTCTCTCCCCTAATGAGTATCAGCAGCTTCTTGGCTTCTATCAAAGGCAGAAAAAGTCTGTTAGCAAACGTACATCTCAGCTTATTACGGGATGTGCTTAGAGCAGGTATGGGAGGTATATGTATTAGTATTGGTTCCCATATGGCTAAGTGGAGGTCCCCAGAGAAAAGTGTTGCATCAGTTTAAAGAGTGTTTATCTTTTTTTTTTGCATCCCTGCCAAGAGAAAACGCACAGTAAAATGCAGAGCTACTGTTAATAAACTGGTCTAAGGCAACCAACAGGGATTTCATGAACATATTGCATTTGTTTTAAAAAACATTTATAGAAAAAAACATGTAATTGGAACCACACAAAAATGACTATGCATTGCAAAAAAATGTAACGTGAGGTAATAATTGCTTGAATCAAGTAGTTTTTATCTTAATTTGAGCACATTCTGACTGTCATTTGGTCTTATTTCAAGAACTGTTGCTTTATTTTCTCATTCAGAGGGAGGCTATCTTTCTAAAAACGGAAAATGTTGCTTGTCCCATTGGAAAATCTGGTTTTAAGCCAGTCAAATGTGAAAATTTGAGCAATTGTTGATAATTAATCATTCTGTAACAAGTTCCTAGAGCTCAAAACAGTGAAAAACAGACCAGCCCTCACTCATCTCTCATTATACTAGGTTGTGGTCTGATTTTTTCAAATAATGTCACTGAAAAACACAATCTTTTCTGTTGTATGTTTGTATTAATGAAGCAAGACCTAACCAAGTTAGGAACTCCAGCTTTATAGAACAACATTTGAATGGAGATATTTCTCAAACTGCTATTGAATACAAGACAACAGCTCTGTCCGTCCGGATTCATGTTTAATCAAGTCCTTGATATAATCCTGAAATCTTACACAGAGATTGGTGTAGAATTTGCGTTATAAATTTCAGCTAGAATGACTGTCCTCCAGTTTTGTCGAAGCACTTTCACACGATTCAAAAGGTCCTGTGTGTCGCCTAAAGACAAACTCGGAGCGGGCGCAGGGCTGGGGGTTTGGGGAAGAGCACCCAAAGGACTCGGCGAGGGGCGGATAGACCCCCACCGGGCCCGGGCCTCACGACGGATGGAGCGAGGGATCGTGTTGACAGGGGGGAAAAGACAGAGCGCTGGGAGGAGGAGGAGGAGAAGGCATCCACACATCCGGCAGGGAGGCTTCCAGCAACCGGGCCAGGAACTCATCAAAGCACCTCCCAACAGCCGTGTGCGAGCATGCCAAGTGCGCCTCTGTCTGCGGCACACAGGCGAGCCCAGGAAAAGTCTGCCATGTTTGTTTATTTATTAATTTTTTTATGCGCGGTGATGGATGGGAGCGGCGCGGGAGGGAGCATTCAACCATTGTTCATCAGTAAAGTACACAACTGTCCTGCCTAATTGCTCAGCCGTAATGTCAGGCAGAGATGAGTGATTACAACCAGCGCTGATGACCTATTCCTTACATCAGCGCTCAGGAAAACTTCACCTCCTCATCCTCCCAAAGGGACAGGGGAGAGGAGGCTTTATGTTCAAGTTAGAGAGGGACATTTTAGATGTGGCTGTTTTTACCTGTATTTTAATTGGGTGGATTTGATTAATGTTTCTACACACATTTAGGGATGACCTGACCCGTGAGCTCCTGTACAGTGTACATTACATACAGAAGAGCTGAAGAAGAAACTTTTTCACTTCAATTCAATTTAGTTTTGCAAAGGCCTGAAATTGAAACAGTAGTTATCTCGGAGAACTTTACTTTCCGTCAACTCACGAACACAGATTAGAGAATCAAACACGAGAAATTATAAAAACCATCGGTCCATAAGGGGCAGACGACCAATGTCCATAAGTAAGGGATAATGTATAGTCCGCTGCGCGTCGGGGTCCGCTTTGCGCTGTCGGAACTTATTTTCCGATAATGACCTGCGTACTATACATTATCTCGCTTATTAAACTGCTTGTACCAACAGAACACACAAAATAAACGTCAGTTAAATGACTGCTGCTAAAATAGTTCCCAAAGGCTTTCCCGTTGCTATGCTAGTAACAGTTAGGCTAGCAACTTCCAAACTAGAACTCTCTCGAACTGCATGAAAACTGAACAAAGAATTCTGAACATCAGCGGTGAGTGACCCAAACATAAACCTAACCTAAATCCATAATTCGATCTTCTGCAAATGTGTCCTAAAATGTATCGGAATCTTCTTCCGGGTTTTTTGCAATCGCTTTTTCCCGCATTAAAACCTCTGTGCATGTGTATTAAGAATGTATATGTATAATGTATTCTCCGATCAACATTTAATTGTGTTGATTGATTGGTTTTTGCGTTTATTGAGCGACAAAGTGGCCGGAACTACTTGTGGAGTAATCTACACATCTGAATTACAAGCAGAAAGTCCGTTGCCAAAGGGCAGCGGTCATTATTGTTTTGAGAGGTCCGTTATCAAGAAATAATGATCGGTAGAACGTTTTGAAATTACATTTAAATCAATGGAGCATTCTACTGCTGCTGTGAGGAGCCGTGTAATAAATGTTTATACGACAGTGAATCTTCGGTCACACACTGCTGTCCCAGTTGTCTTGTGGGTAAACTGGATCTAAATTTCTTGTCTGTCCGTGGGAGCCCTCTCTCATTGTGGGTCTCCTCAAGGTTTCTCTCTTTTTCCCCACTGGGTTTTTAGACGTTCCTTGCTGATGAAGGGGGATGATCTAAGATATTTAAGGACAGTGGTCATCCTGCTCCCTATGGACCAATGGCTCCTATGTGTTTGTTATTATTGCCTTTTCTGTGTTTGGATTGTTCTCTGTTCTGTCGTTGGTGAATCCACAACTTTGTAAACTTTGTGATTTAAGGCTTTACATAACATATTGAACTGAAATTGAAACCTCATCGTAGGACATTGTATCACACGTCTTCACTCTGACAAACCGGGTGAATGAAAACAGAACGAGCAGGAGGCTAAGGCATAACATAGATGTTCACCAACACAATAACATCTCTTGTTTTCCCAAATACTATGAGAACATTCCCATCAACTTCTCTATTGAAATTAGAAAAGAAAATGCTGCTCTTGAAATATAACAAAAGCAAAGGGCAATTTTGTGATAGATTTGAACCCTTTAGATGCCAGAGGATTTTGTGTGAACCAGACAAAAGGTGGATCCCTGATACTTTATGACAGATAGAGGCCTATGTAACTCAACTGTTGAAATAAATACAAGAAACGTACTGTATGTAGGAAAAAAGAAAGAAAATAATTGTGGGGTTCGATTCCACCTCCCGACAGGGCCTTTGTGTAGAGTTTTCTCCCTGTGTCTCCGTGGGTTTCCTCCAGATGTTGAGATACTGTATGTCCCTGGGCACTGTACGACGGTGATCACTTGTCTCTTATCTAACTAGTGGTTTTCAGGATGGGTCAAATGCCAGAGGACAAATTTAATCTCTAAACAATATAGACGTTCCAGCTTTCGTTGCAAACTCATCTTAAAAGTCATGAAGCAGCAGAAGTTAGTGTTATTGCAGACGTTAGTGATATTCATGCCTTGCCCACACTGCTCCTAACTATGATGAAGTAGCCGTGGTCGTCTGGTCGACACTGCCCTGCTCCCACTGCCCGGGCATCTGCCTCCTCTTCGCTGCCATCAGCCCTGGATGAGGTTCAGCTCCTGTGGCTGGAGGAGGCTGAGGAGGCTGGAGCTGAGGCTGAATCAGGGGCTCCGCTCGGGCTGGACCAGGATCCACGGTCCTGGGGCTCGTTGGCTGGAGGTGAGGGAGGTTGGGAGGCCGCCACTACCACCGCTTATGATCCGAGAGGGAAAGAGGAGCCAAGGATTCAGAGCGATGCACTGTTGGAAATAAAGTTGATTCATCCCATAGAAAAAAAGAATAAAAGTTAGTTTTTTGTAAATATGTGGGAGTATAACCGGGGAGATGTTGAATTATACACCATTGAGATTATGGAACAATAACAATGTATATAAACTGTAAATAATAAAGTCCAAGGCCCGAGACTTTATCCTGTATTCCTTTGTATTGCTTTGTCTGGAATGATTTATAGTGATTCCACCAGAGCAATATGTGTCATAATGCCTAGCGTACATCGGACTGGCAACTGATTGTATCCGTCGCATATGAGTTGCTGCCCCGCACACATCGACAATCTGCCGAAAACGGGCAACTCCCAGTAGCAGGCCAGTCTCGAGAATAACAGCGCGTACATCGACAGCAACTGGCCTCAACTACAGTGTGTTTTCTGACATAAACTGTAGAGGGCGAGCAATACACACATGTTGGAGCGCACACATCGGGTCATATCTCCGGATCTGAGGACAACTAGTTGCCGAAAAGTAGAACACGGGCAACCGACTGAAACCGCAGATCGACTGTTTATCTCCAGTTATAAGAGCTCTCACATCGACCGATTTCGGCAACTGATCCTCTCCCCTCATCTACTCTCAGTTGCCAAAAGCCGCCTTGCAACTAGTTGTCTCCAGTTACTCTGTCGATGTAAGCTAGGCTTTAGTGTCATTGATAAAACTTATGAAAGGTCTGGGATTACCTTTAAAGTACAGGTTGTTCAGAGGTCGGACGATGTTTACCAGACGAGAAGTGACTTTGTTCTGAATTTTTTAGGAAATTCAAAATAAGGTCTTGAAGGAAGGGACAATGTTTCAATCATCTTATTGAATTCAATATATTCTTAACTAAGGGCCTGTTCTCACTCATCTTCACTCTAGAGCAGGCCGATTCACCTTGCAGCCCGGAGATGAAATCAGGCCGGAAGAAACCTGTACCTCTTTACTCTTCGTTTACTGGCTTTGTACTAGTTTTCAACTTGGTTTCATGTACGTTAAGACATTTGAATTATTCCTTAACAATGCGTAAAATGTGACCACAATGCATTTTTACATCCAACCCCAAGAACATAGTCCGGGCAAATCTGGTTCTGGTTGAACAGCAGTGGTCTCCAGAACGTGAGAAGCAAATGAAACTGTTGCATCGTGGCCAGTAATTAAGACAGAGACATCTCGTATCAACTTGCACGTTTACTCCGACATCATGTAACAACAGGTTACAACGTGGTCAACGTTCAACACTGGCAATGCTCTCTTGCCTATGCGATGGCGCCCTCTAAGGGTGAACGCCGGTATACTATTCTAGACAGATAATACACATGCTCTTATCAGTATATCACATCTCCCCCACCTTTAAGTGAACAACCCATAATACAGTCTGGTAACAATCAAAATTGTAAATAACAGTTTACAAGATAAACATGTAAATAAACTCAAAATCACTAAGAAAACGAAGTATTTAGCTCACTCTGTTGTAATAATGCACTCAATGAACAAAGTCTCTAAGATGAACAGGTATACGTTTCTCCCTAATGGAACGTTTCTTCACTGTCTCAAAAGGTAAAACGGAAACACCCTTGCTCTCTGGGCTAAGTGGTAACTCTGACACACTATTTTCACTTGTAGTGGCCTGATCCGGAACAAGGTTTGGCTGTTCTTGTACTGACTCAACAGTAATTTGGTTACTCTCTGGAAACAATGGTAAGGAAACCTCTTTCTCCGTAGTTAACTCTGGATCGGACATTCTAGATCTAACCTGATCTAGAATCACCTGACCAGACCCAATAGTAACTGCATAAGACAGTGGTCCTGAACTATCCTGTACCACACCAGGAATCCATTTTGGGCCATAGGCATAATTCCTGATTAGAACATCATCTCCTGCTGCAAAGTTCCTTTGTTTGCTGTGAGTGTCATGATAATGTTTTTGTTTCAGCTGCTTTTCTTGCACTTTTGTTTTCAAGTCCGGAACCACTAAATCCAAAGCCGATCTCAGTTTGCGTGACATCATCAACTCTGCGGGTGACAAACCTGTAGTGGCGTGAGGTGTAATTCTGTAACTAAACAAGAATCTTGAAAGCCTTGTTTGTATTGTCCCTTCTTTCATCTTTTTCATCCCCACTTTGAAAGTTTGAACTGCTCTTTCTGCAAGTCCATTTGAAGATGGATGAAACGGGGCTGACCTCACATGTCGAATGCCATTTTGTCTCATAAATGTTTCAAACTCTCCACTTGTGAAACAGGTCCCGTTGTCTGACACAAGCATTTTTGGCAAACCAAAAACACTGAAACTTTGTCTGAGCTTCTCAATGGTAACTTGAGAAGAGCTTGTCTTGGTAGGATAAATATCCAACCATTTGGAGTGAGCATCCACTATCACCAGGAACATTTCTCCCAGAAACGGTCCCGCATAGTCCACATGAATCCTCGACCATGGACTCTCAGGCCATTCCCATGGGTGTAAAGGTGCTGGAGCGGGTGCCTTTTGGTGGGATTGACACTCATGACACGCTCGAACCGTTTTTTCAACATCATGATCCATTCCTGGCCACCACATGTACGATCTGGCCAGGCCTTTCATTTTTGTCATTCCACAGTGCGTTTGATGTAGTAGTTTGAGCATTTTATCTCTTCCTTTGTTTGGAATTACTACTCTTGCCCCCCATAGAACACAGCCATCTCTTACACTGGAGCTCCATTCTTCTCTGGTGAAAAGGTTTAAGACTCAGCTCAGTAACTGTAGGCCATCCTTTCAGAATGTATTCATGAACTTGTGATAAAATAGTATCTTTGGTAGTCCAGTTCTTTATTTGACTCGCCTCAATCAGTGTCTCATCCAGTACGTCCATCATTAAAACTTGCTCAGTTCTCTCCTCCTTCCTTAGTTTGACCGGTAGAGGCAACCTGCTCATTGCATCCGCATTAGCATGATTTTTTCCTGGTTTATACACGATTTGATACTTGTATGCACTCAGTTTTACAGCCCACCTTTGAACTCTCGGCGATCCCATTTGTGGTATCGGTTTCTTTTCATTAAACAGATAAATTAGCGGTTTGTGGTCTGTATAAATGGTGAACTTGCGCCCGTACAAGTATTTGTGAAACTTTTCAACACCAAATATGACAGCAAGCCCTTCTTTGTCTAGTTGAGAGTACCTTGTCTCAGCCGGTTGTAACGTACGTGACATAAATCCAATTGGTCTTTCACTTCCATCTTCCATGACGTGTGATAACACCGCACCCACTCCATAAGGCGAAGCGTCACATGATAACACCAGCTCACGGTCAGCTGAGTAATGTATCAAAACATCATTCGTGTTCAACATGTCTTTAGCATTTTGAAACGCTTGTTCTTGCTCTGTGCTCCATTTCCACCGAACATCCTGTCTTAGTAGTTTGTGTAAAGGAGCCAACCTTGTTGCCAGGTTTGGTAGGAACTTATTGTAATAATTGAGCATCCCCAAAAACGATTTCAACTCAGTCACATTTGTAGGGGCAGGAGCATTCTGGATTGCTTTGACTTTTTTATCCAGAGGATGTAATCCCTGTGCATCAACTCTGTACCCTAGGTACTCCACTTCATTCTGCATGAAGGTGCACTTGCTCCTTCTGAGACGAAGCCCCGCCTCCTTCAGCCTCGACAACACAGTATTCAGATTATGTAAGTGATCTGCTTCATTTACCCCACTCACTAAAATATCGTCCAAATAGACAGATACGAGCGGAATCCCAATTAATAGACTCTCCATTGTCCTTTGAAAAATGGCTGGAGCCGAAGCCACACCAAATGGTAGTCTATTGTATGTGAACAGCCCCCTGTGCGTGTTCACTGTGAGGTATTTCTTTGACTCGTCATCCATGAGTATTTGTTGGTAAGCATGACTCATATCCAGTTTTGAAAACTGTTCGCCTTTTGAGAGGGCATTGAACAAATCATCCACTCTGGGTATCGGATATTGCTCCAGAGAGGAAACAGTATTTACGGTTAGTTTGTAATCCCCACACAACCTCACTGAACCTGGTGGTTTCAGTATTGGTACCACTGGAGCGGCCCAATCAGAGTATGTCACTGGTGTGATAATGTCTTCTTTCAATAATCTGTCAATTTCCTCATCCACTTTTCCTTTCATGGCATAAGGAATTGACCTGGGTCGGAAAAATCGGGGTACAGCATTTTCCTTGATGTGAATTTTTGCTTTAGTGCCCTTTAATGTTCCCAATTCATCCTTAAACACAACCTCATTATTGCACAGCACTTCCCGCAGTGTTGTCTTCTTCCCTGAGTGGACATGGTGAACCTGACGAGCTTCACGCCTGGCTTTCACCTCCTTCCAATCCAGCTGAATGTCCTCCAGCCAGCCTCTGCCCAGTAGAGTGGGACCATCCCCTTTGACAACCACCAACGGCAGTTTGGCGGTTTGCTTTTTATATTTCACTTTCACACGTGCGGCTCCCACTACTTTCACTGGATCTCCTGTATAAGTTTCCAACTTGATTTGTACTGGTTTGATCTGTGGTGTTTTGTCTTTTTCCCACATTGTTTGAAATGTCTTTTCGTTCATCACTGTGAGACTGCACCCTGTGTCTATTTCAAAATTAACTTTTTTACCATTCACTTTCAGGGTCTCTGTATATGGATTCACTTTCCTCAAATGTATTTCACTCATGCGTCCCAGTTTGAATTCCATGCACTGTAATGCAAAAGGACCATCTTCAGAGCTGTCGGAGTTGCTATCTTCTTGTTCTTGGACATTATGTGAACGATAACTTGAGCTTTTTCTTTCCCTTATGAAAGCACCCGATTTTCCTTTGCCTTTGTCCTGTTTACTCTTATTACGACATGCTCTTGCAATATGCCCCACTTTTCCACATGCATGACATTTTTCTTGTTTAAACTTACATTCAGTCGCTTCGTGTTGTCCTTTGCATCGGTAACATTCCTTCATAGCGGCCTTGAACGCACCAGTCCCCCGCTCACGTGCGCCTTTGTTCATCTTAAAACACTTTGCTGCTGCGCTGGGATTCTGGAGATCATGTGCATTTTTATTAGCTGTTTCGGCAGCAACTGCAATGGACATCGCTTTTTCACAGGTTAAATCTGTTTCTGCCAGAAGTCTCCTTTGAATGCGGTCATCGTTTATTCCACAAACAAGCCTGTCTCTTAACTTCTGCTGTAACGTATTCCCATAATTACAATCCTGCGCCAGCCTCCGCAGCTCGGCCACGTAATCCATAACACTCTCATTCTGGTTACGACTACGGGAATCAAACTTGTACCTCTGCACGATTTCACTTGGTTTCGGGTCAAAGTGGTTTTTCAGCAGCACCACGAGTTGATGGTAAGTTTTCTCTTTCGGTTTCTCCGGGCTGAGAAGGTTACGCATTAAACTGTAAGTAGATGCGCCGACCACGCTGAGGAGTATAGCTCTTTGCTTATCTCCGTCATCAATTTCGTTGGCCTCAAAAAACTGCTCCATTATCTCACAGTATTCTTCCCAGCTTTGATTTTTAGCATCAAACGCCGCCAGAGTGCCAATGGTCGCCATTACGTTTCGTTTTTAGTTGCTTTCGCCTTCTCCTCTCCCCCTTACTTGCTCCAACTTTGCCCACAAAATCCAAAATCCTTACTTCTCAAAAGTGTTCATCCTCGTCGCCAAAAGATGTTGCATCGTGGCCAGTAATTAAGACAGAGACATCTCGTATCAACTTGCACGTTTACTCCGACATCATGTAACAACAGGTTACAACGTGGTCAACACTTCAACACTGGCAATGCTCTCTTGCCTATGCGATGGCGCCCTCTAAGGGTGAACGCCGGTATACTATTCAAGACAGATAATACACATGCTCTTATCAGTATATCACAGAAACAGTCCTCGTCCCTGATCTACTTCTGACAGAGGCGACCTGTGGATCAGCGCAGACTTGATGCGGGTGCTTCCACTGCTCCGTAAAAGTATATCAAAAGTATCAAGTGTGAATAAAAAAATAAAAAAATCTGTTCAGCACTAAAACTCCCATTACAGTCAAATTGACAGCTTTTATTTTTTGAAGCGTAATCACTACACTTATGCAAGGCAAGGCAAGGCAAGGCAAGTTTATTTGTATAGCACAATTCATACACAAGGCAATTCAAAGTGCTGAACAGAACAAGAAAGCATTAAAATCATAAATAATCACAGTACATTAAAAAAAAAAAAGATAAAAATATAAAATCCCTCAGTTGTATGCACAGCTAAACAGAACCGTCTTTAACCTGGTTTTAAACATTGTCAGAGAGGAGGCCTGTCTCACATCTTCAGGAAGACTGTTCCAGATTTTAGCAGCATGAATCCGAAAAGCAGCCTCCCCATGTTTAGTTCTGACTCTGGGCACTAACAGGAGTCCAGTCCCTGTGCTCCTCAGAGTCCGGGCTGGTTCATATGGGACTAACATGTACCTGTTTGGTCTTCCGAAACTTTGTGACTTTTTCTGTATCTTTGTGTAGTCTATAGCTATGTCAACAGGCTCAGTCCCCCAAGGTTTGGCACTTTGTTCTGATGGGGTTTTCCACCAGGGAGAAGCAAGTGCTAGTTACCATAGGAACACACTGTTTACGTGCAGCAGTTAGCACTTGGTGGCCTTTCAACACAATGTTTCTTTTCTAGATTTCCAGTTTTAGCCCATGTTAAAAGTTCTGGGAGTCCTAGTATCATACTGGAACATTCCCAGCCAAGACAGGATGTGGACCCTCTTTCAGCATGCTTGAATTAAGAAGGGGATTCAAATAAACCCACCTCCTCATCATCTGAGGAGAAGGCACAGGCAGAACAACCATCAGGTGCAGGTGCATTTAGTCATGGAGCTGGCGATGGTCTCACTGGGAGCCATACCTGCTGCTGCCAGTCTGCTCTCTGCCCTGGATCCACAGCCTCCTCCCCTCCCGCTCTGGCTGGGGGCGCTGGGCTGTCACCTGGGGGGGGCGTGTCGAGGTGCGAATCTCCGGTCCCGTGGAGTAAACCCAAGCGTCCCCTGTTACAATGCGCTCGTCTGGTCTCACCTGTCAATCATGCGCCGTTCACAGGTCGGGGTATGTTTATCCGTGCCCCGCGGACGCACACGCAACCAGGGAGATCACAGGTTCAGCAGAGTCACCGCATATTTTAGCACGGCTCCAAAAATAGGCTTCATGATGGAGAGAGACGCAGCCAGGTCCAGAGAGGCAAATGTGGCCTGTGCTCGAGCACTATGGCAATACATGCTTTTCTCAAAACAAAGAAAGTAACACTGAAGATTTGGGTTGTTTTTACCAGTTTTTACAAGTCTAGTTTGTAGTTACGTGTCCAACCTATCGTTTCAATCTCTATGGGTCATTGCGCCAAATTATTCTGACAAAGTATTAGTCAGAATCATTGATCTAGTTGGCTGATCACTCACACAGCAGACACTAATGTGGGTGAAGTGTTTTGACCAAGAACAGAGAAATAGTTTGGCACTTTGCAGCTGCACAGTTGTGCCACCCATCACCGTGCTAACCAGACCCTGCCCTGCTTAGCATCTGAAGTCTCACAGGATCAGGCGTTTGCAAGTAGGTGACAGCACAATTTATTTCTTAGTTTTATTTGGATGTAATGACACTATATTGTAGTTCCACAGTCACACTGACGCTCAACACTCACCTATTGTACACCGGAGGGAAACCCGGAGCACCTGGAGGAAACCTCTGTAAGCACGTGGGACTATGCAAAGTCCAGAAAGACCTCTCCTGGAAGTGGAATTGAACTCATGAGAAGGTCTGGTGTTCACACAGAACCAGCACCATGTAAGATGTTGAGGTGAATACTACGCAGGAACTTTGGGTTTCGGTAGAGCCCCAAACTTTACAAATTGGTAAATCTCTGATCAATATATTGGTCAATCAAACCAAAATCAGCTTAACCAATTACATTTGTAGTTTTATTTTTCCAACCAATGTATTTTTATAGTCTATCTTTTACACATACTTTTGGTCTCTGTCACATCTTAAGATCAAATGTTTTCTGAAGTCAAGGACAGAATGTTGGCCCAACACTTTCTGTTGGCTAACACAACATTTTTTACCCCCCCCCCCGCTTTATTGGCGTCACAATTCTACTTCAGTCACAAAACATACCCAAGATTTACTGTGTTTATTGTTTCACATCTTAGCAAGTGAAAAATCATATGTCCATAGATCTAACCTGTAATTAGGTATAGTTTAGCCCAATATCACTCCGTGTTCCAGCCAAACCAGTCGGAGGCTTTCATAACAAACCCGTAAAGCACCTGTAAAGCTGGGATTCCTACATTTTCTTTCAGCATAAAAAAAAAAAAAAACGTTGCTTGTCCAACTGAGAAATCTTGTGAAAGTAAAATTCATTGGTGTCTGGCCTCTGTCACATTTTTGAAACAGTTTTTTTCAGACAAAAACTTGAAAAAGAAGGACCACCTCAATCAACCAATCATCTCTCAAGCTATTCCTTCAAATGTGACTCACAGGGTTATTTCTGACAAGATGAAGACAGTACGTTTGTTCAAAAGATGTAACTTTAACATAACAACTTAAGAAGATTTTTTATATACATTTTTTATTTATACTTATATTTATGGAGAAAAAGGTTTGATACCCCACATCTATTGTGTGTACTTCGTGCACTTGTACAGTATATAGTAGTAATTTGAATAAATCATATGCAGATTTATTTTTATGTTTATGCACCTTATTCTATTATTACCTTCTAACTCAGGGGTCTCCAACCTTTTTCAATCAGAGAGCTACTGTTATACACCAGAAGAGGAAGAGAGCTACACCTTTTGCAGTCATAATAAAAGTCTATGTAATAATTAAGAAAAGATATACCATAATACTGTAAAACCCAATATTTATACTTATAATAGATCTGTAATGAGTAATGACTCCAAAGTAAATCATTCAATATCATGTGTTCAATTCTAAATCCTTTGTGGAGCTACCTGAAAGGAGCTGGCGAGCTACTGGTAGTTCCCGAGCTACAGGTTGGAGACCCCTGTTCTAACTTGTCTGCACCGAGAGCTAAAGCAATTCTCAAAATTTGTCACTTCTTGTTACTCTCAAGAATATCGCAATAAAAATATTTCTTATTTTGACTTAGGTGTTTTAAAAAGATAATTATTAACGTTTAAAACCAACCGAGCAGATTCAGAACAGCCGAGGCAAAACATTCATTCTGTTTATTCCCCTTTCTTTTTTTCACACACCGACATTCAAAGTAGCTCAACGATATGAAACCTCTTAGCTAAAACAGCAAAAGCAATCTTGCATCCGCGCAGGTATGAGCTCCCACTGTCCTGCGCGTTGACGGAGGGCCTCATAACCGCCGCCGCATAAAGTCGGCCATAACATTTTCATATCGTTGACAAATGAAATTGAAAACTTGGCTCACCCCGGGTCTGTCTCTCTGTAATGACGGCACAGAGCAATGTCCCACGAAACATTAAGTGATGATGGAGCACAAACAAACACAGACGAAGACGGCGGTGTAACTATTGTCAAGTGAAGGGAGGGAGGAGGAGGTTGGGGGCCCAGGCAGTAGCTTCATTTCTGGGTGATTCACGTCGGGAGTGGGCTTGCAAAATTGCTTTATGGGAAATGGCGAGCAGCGCGGTGGGGACATTAAGCGGCAAGCAGCGGGGAGGCCGTCTCTCCATCAAGGGAGCGCTACTCTCCTTTTATTACCCGGATTTGGAGTTTTATGGTTATCATTATTTGCCATAGAATTATTGTCCGCATATATCTCTCCCATCAGCTGTTTGGGGCCCGGTGCTGCTGTGACTGGTGAGCGACGTTCTCGGGTGGTCTACAAGGTTTAGCTGTTTGCTCACTTATTTTTGTTCGCGTTTATGAACATGGTTTTTTTTCCTGTTGTCAGCGTTTAGGGGGAGCTGTCGAGCGCGTCCTCCGCAGCCGTGAGAGCGACTGAGGCGGTGGAGAAGCCAGAGCGGCGGGAGTTGGCGAGGCAGCGCTGGCCGATTTGGGATCGGAGGCTGATCTGCGTCTCCATCATGAACTGGTCCTGAAAAACAACAAAGCAATTCATGGCGAGGTATTGGTATTGGACAGTTCATCCACACTCAAAGTGCTCAACAAAACAAGAATATTTACATTACACAGATACAATCCTTCAGATGTACAGTGAGAATTAACAGTTTTTGACCTGGATTTGAACATTGCCTGTCTCACTTTTTCAGGGAGACTGCTCCAGATTTAGTTTCCCCATGTTTAGTCCTGACTATAGCGCATTTTTTTACAGACCAGTCACCCAAAGCGTTTTACAATGTTCAGAGTTCAGATATTGTTCCAATCATTCCAAACACGGTGATGACGGAAGCGAGTCGCCGAACACACTGGAGCATCCATTCACTCTCTCATATACATTCACACCTATTGTGCATGTTTTTAGTGGTAGGGGAAACCGGAGCACCTGGAGGAAACCTACGCAGACACGGGGAGGACATGCAAACTCCACTCAGAAAGGCCCTGTTCTGACCGGGATTCGAGCCCAGGACCTTCTTGCTGAGAAGCAAGAGTGCTATCCACAGTATCCCAACAGGAGGCCAGTCCCTGTGCTGCTCAGAGTCCCAACAGGAGGCTAGTCCCTGTGCTGCTCAGAGTCCCAACAGGAGGCTAGTCCCTGTGCTGCTCAGAGTCCCAACAGGAGGCTAGTCCCTGTGCTGCTCAGAGTCCCAACAGGAGGCTAGTCCCTGTGCTGCTCAGAGTCCCAACAGGAGGCTAGTCCCTGTGCTGCTCAGAGTCCCAACAGGAGGCTAGTCCCTGTGCTCCTCAGAGTCTGGGTTGGATCATTTTTATAGTCTTAGGTATGCACCAATAAAGAGATTTCATGTCCATTACATAGATCTTACAGAGAATACATAGGTCTTTCAATATATAACTGAACTGATACACGGAAATTGGCTGAAAAAAGCTAAATTTTCTGCCTCAAATCACATCTAAACGTTTTTACAAGAAAAAAGCACAGGGACCACAACACTCCCATCTTCGATCCCCGCACTGGCTCACTGTATATTCAATAAATCATATTATTGTTTTAATAGTTTTTTGTATTTATGTATTTTTGTAATGACTATTAAACTCATGCAGAGCAGAAGCAGTTACTTCTATCTTAGCAGTAGACACTTTTGTAAAAAATGACAAAAACAAGACAACAAGAAAAACATCTATGTCATTCTAACGACTCAAGCGATTAACTTAAATCAATGATCCCACACGAGAGGCTTCACACAGAAACAACTAGCATGCTAAAAGCCCATCAGCCGCTCACTGGTTCACAGCCAATATCTGTATTTATATTTCAACAAAGACAGTTCTAATTGACACTAAATATCCTATTGTTCTATATTACTATAAAATGGTGGTTCCCCAACAGTTTATGATACAAAACTCCAAAACAGCTGAGTGGGAGGAGAGGCGAGTCAGTCACACAAGTCTAATAATCAAACCACAAACCATCAGATAAACTCATTCATAGACGTTTTATGTACAAAAAACCCACAAAATTTCACAATCTCTATCTCCTGAGTTTTACTAATCATAGACTGTGTTAGTCTTAATGCGGAAGAAGCCGATTTGAACATAAGCTAGCTGGAGCCAATTTTCTTATATAGGCATTTTTTCTGACGTTTCTCGCAGTAACAGGGGCAGACGTGTTGCTAACATGGATGCAAAAGCAAGCTGGATTTTATCCTGCAAATGAAATCATCTGATTGGTCAATCCTTAAATGGCTCATATCTGGATTTACAAAGACATAATATAAACACCAGGATCATAGAGAGCGCTAAACCACAGATTCTTTAAGCCCAAAATGGTGAGTGTGACATAAACAGTTACTTCAATGTAAGTCATAGGAGTCAGTGAGAGTTGGAGCAAAACTTCATCAGTGAGCACTTTCCTTCATTGAGCTAGGGGGATAGCATTGTCCATCTATATACCGTCCTATTGTCTTTTCATTGATTAAAAACGTTGGTATCTGCGCTTTATAAACAAGGGCCCAGGTCAGTGAAGTGTACTGCTCAACGACGCAAGAGCAATAAACTGAAATGAGAACGGTACCATCCTCCCCTAAAAATGCAAAATAATTCTATCAAAAAACAGAGAAAACCAGCTTTTATAGGCGATACGAACAGATCAAATATTCTCATTTTGGCACAAAAGTGGGCCGTCTGTCTTCAGGTGTGGCAGTTATTGGCCCAAATCTTTTTCCATCTAATTTTCTCATATCATCTCAATAATCTAATAATATATCTACATCTGTGATTAAATGCTCTAATAAACTTTTATGGAAGCACTGTCTAAGTTTGAACCACGGTATTTTAGATATGGCAGATGAGATTTAAATTTCCCAAAATGTGTAATGTTAAGGTAATTATTAAGAATCCAAAAGAAATATATAACCACAAAACATAGTAAAATAGGCAACACTATATATTACACGACAAAAGTGTGTTTGCACAATCTGAGTGATACTATCTATGCCAAATGTGACATGTACATTTCTCTATAGTGAGATCTTTCTGATTTCTTTACAATTCTAAATCATTGTACGCACAAAATAGCAGTGATGCCAAAAAAAAAACACACATTATGACAGACATTATGAACTTTATATGTTTGGCCCGATCTACTGCTTTTCCAAAAGGTTATGCCATCATAAAAAGTCCTGTTTCCACCAGCCCTACTCTACTCTACTTTACTTTACTCGGCTCTACTCTACTTGACTCTACTCTACCCCAATTGGGAGCAGTTCCATCGGCCTTGTTTAACCAGGACCAGGTACTTTTGAATGGCTCTGGTTCTAACAGACAGTGATTGGCCAGAATGCTGCTGGAAACCATGGTTACCAACACATTTCCCTGCATGCTGGTTTGTTGTGGGTAGGTTATTAGGAAACGGTACCAGATACTAAAGTGTAATGGAAACACAACCAGGTAGAGTAGAGTAAGTAGGGCTGGTGGAAACAGGGCTTTAGTCTTCTTAAGAGTAAGGAGTGTAATCTTTAACGGATTTGGTGCATTCCAGTACAAACCCATTAATAAAGAAACTGTAATTAAAGCAGGTATACCTAATTTTCAAACCACAAACAAATATAACTATAATAAAATCACTAGTTTTCACATGAATGCATTTTTGGGCTCTATCTCATCTTCAGATCAACTTTTTCAGACAGAAAATTGGGAAAGAGCGGACCACCCTCCCTCAGCCAATGAGTGTCAAATAGTCACTCACAAAAGATAACAAGCGTTCTAATAAGATGACGACAGCATGTCGTTCACAACATTTTACTTTTACGATATAATACGTATGAACAAAGTGAAGTCCCTCAGCTTTAATTTAATCCTGGGAAATTTTGGCCTGAGCTCTGAAAAGACGCTGCAGACACGTGAGAAGCAGAGGACATAGGGGGACACACAGAGTTGAGTCGGGGCCAGAATCACTGATGCTGGTTCCCGCCTCATAAATTATCGCTGTGACGACGGGTGAGATGCTGTCAGGAAAGACCAGCGTCCCAAAAACCATCAGAGCCTCAGCAGCAGGTCTGTGGAGCCGGCCGCTCTCTGTCAGCTGCCTGCGCCCACAGCAACTTCATATGTGACTTCAAAACACAACATGACCTGAGTGAATGCAGTGGATAGAGAGAGATGAGGGGGGTTACAGGGGTTACCTTCAATATTTTAGTATGTGATGTTTTGTTCAACTCCTAAAATAGATTAGAGAGATGTATGTCTGCCTTGTGAACCCATGCACAGACTCAGATCTAGACCTGCAAACTCATACCGAAAATGCTGACAGTCAAATTGCCAATCCACTGTGTTTAGAATTCTATGTATTTTAATACCATTGCATATCCATCCGTTTTCTTCCCCTTAATCCACTTCTGGGTTGGGGGGTTGGCAGTCAGAGATGCCAGCCACGTCACAGAGCACCAGCCCCTCACTGATCCTCCTGCAGGTGGTGACTCCACAGGAGGACGGCTGCTCTGTCAATGACACCACAGCCTTGGTCTTTCAGCGGGGGCTTCAGGCAAAGCGGGGTTAAGTGTCTTGCCCAAGGACACAACGACAGCAGACATCAGTGGGGTGTAAATATGGGGTGTGAATATGGGTAATGGATTAATCAAAAAGTATTATTCAACTAATTGAGTCATCAATTATTGGGTTTTTGAACCATACGTGGTTCAAAAACTGGTTTACTTGTGTGACCTGGGTCTGTGAACTGCGCTATACAAAAAAGATAAAGATCCAGGACACTCTAACATTCTACAACATGTATGGACCTTTATCAACATTTATGGACGTTGGTCAACTCCCCCCTATGGACCAATACATATGTGTTCTATATTTTTTGTGTTTGAACGGTTCTATTCTCTGATCTGTGTTGACGATATCAATGGTTTCGTTAAGTCCTCTGCAATAACTACTTTTGCGATTTAAGGCTATACAAGAATACATTGATTTGAAGTTGAATTAAATATGACTTACTTAGGCTAATGACTGGACCTTTTCAGAATGAGCTAAATGTTTGATTTTTGCCATAATTCCCAAACTGGCCCAAACTCTCCCCTCCCCTGCTCCTGAGGCAGCGGCCGGCAGCAGAGCAGTTAATAAAGAGATTGATTATGGTGGTGTGAGGAAGTGACAGTTGGACAGGGCGGCTCTGCGTGAATGACAGAGGCCAGCCTCACACACAGCAGCAGCCCCACATGCCAGGGCCTGTGCCAGCTCAGAGGTGTGTGTGTGTGTGTGTGTGTGTGTGAGGGTGGGGCATCACTACAACCTTCTGCTGGAGGAGAGGGTTCATCCTGGTCTATGACATTGACTGAACAAAAAAACATCATAATAATTTGAATATGAATTGCAAAGGTGTTTTAATTTTTTATAGATTCATACATTTCGTTTTGAGTTAAATTTGTGTCAGCTGGGAATCGTCCAAATCCAACAGTTGGTCATTCTTCTGTCTGCAGCCGATCCTCCAGAGAGCAGCTTTACGCTCACTCCTGA